GTCTGAGGAGCACTGTGTCACCCAACCCTGTTCCTTTCCCTCTGTCATCACAGGCAGAACCTTTCACTCTTCTATGGACTAACGCGTTAGAGCTTGAAAATTGATCTCCAGGGCTTGAAATTAGAGTCCGCACAGACTTTTCTGCTGGGAGTGAGACTCACCTGGGTTTTCTAACCTCTTCCTGAATTAACTCCAGAAGTAATTCCCCGTGGCATTTCAGCTGCTGTGTCTTCACAGCTGGTTTCTCTCTCTCGGGGCTTGGCTGAAGGCGGGGAGTCGGGGGAAGCATCCCAGCTTGGCACACTTCACAGTTCTTAATAGGAAGCTTTTGTTCCTCTGTTTCCCTAGTCAGGAGAATGTTTCGTCCTTTTGACCACTTTGCCCTTCCCTGCCCGCTGCCCTCTGTAGGCAGTTGACTGAATTCTAATTTGCTTCAGATACTTGGGCTCATAAATTAGCCACTGATTGTTGCTTTTCTTTGCTATTTTATCTCTTGCCGTCTTCCAGTGCACTTACAAATATGTTTCTGATTCATTTTAAAAGATATCGTTCTCTCAGATCTTATATTTATTTCAAAACAAAATATAGCAGAGTTTTAAAACAGACACACAAGATGATTTATCCTTAGGAAAACTTTCAGGTCTGTGTGCTACATAGTTACACAGAAAGTTGATTTCATTACTTCTTAAATTTGTAACTCTTTTACCTTCACTGTAGAAAAGAACAGCTGCTCCTTTACCCAGGTTGTAATAAGTATCATGTTTACTTTTATCCACACTTGGCATGGGACAGGTAAATAGTAAAAGCAAATAGACAAGAAATCCTACAGCCAGCTTGTATAGAAGGCAACACATGCCTAATAATATAATAATAATCTCTAAGAAATGGTTTCCTTCTTTGGTCGCTTATTCCTTTTTAAAAGTCATATTACATAGAAAGGAATGTGACCCTTTAAATTAAGCAGCTTGTATCTGGTGTAAGTTTGTGACTTTCAGATGCTAACGAACCAGCTAGAAATATTTGATTTGTATAAATATGTAGCTAAATGTCGTTTACAAATTTTAGTGTATGCATACAAAGTCTATACACAGAGTTTTGTCTTAACTCTTGATTTCCATCTCTACTGGTGAGTCACAAGTACCCCTGGATGCCCCTCTCGCAGCTTCTGTGCAATTGTCATAAGCTATTTTAATTCTGTTATGTTGTTTATAACCTCACAAATTATGTAGTAGTATTATTGTTCATTTATACCATAAGTGTTTGTTTAGATTTAACCATGTCTTTATCACTTATTTATTCTCAGTTCCTTCTTCTCAGATCTTCTTTCTGGGATAATTACCTTTCCTCTAGAAGTAATCCTTGTTTAGAGAGGCTTCTCTCTAAACAAGAAGGTCTTCTGTCAGTATAACTGCTTTTTATTTATCTGAAAATGCCCTTATTTTAACAAATAGAGAGTATTTCTGGCTATTCAAATCTAAGATGTCAGATATTTTCTCTCAGCACTTTGAAGATTTTGTTTCATTGTTGCTTGGCTCCTAGTTCTGTGAAGTACTTATCTGATAGTGTAATTGCCATTCCTTTCTCTGACTGCATTTACAGTTTCTCTTTGTCTATGGTATCATCATGCATAGATATGGGTTTTTAAAAAATTCATCCTGCTTGGGATTTCTTGGTCTTTCTGAATTTCGTCTCTTATTAATTTTGACAATTCTTAGCATCACGTCTTTGAGCATTGTCTCTACCCAATTCCTTCTATTACTTCTTTTAAAAACTTTGATCACATGTATGTAGGACTGTCTCATTCTATCTTCCATGTCTCTTAACTTCTCTTTTTCATATTTTTCATCCTTTTGTTTCACTGTGCTCCATTCTGAGTAGTTTTCAGATCTATCCTCCAGTTCACTAAATCCCTCTTCAGCTATGTCTAAATTGCTGTTTGTTATATATTGTATATTGAGTATTAAAATTTTAATTATTATGTATTTTCATTTCTAAATGTTCTTTTGGTTCTTCTTAAATCTTTCTGGCTTTTTTTTTTTTATAGCCTCTCGTTCTTTGATCATGTTTTCAGTCCCTCTTTATTATTTTAAATTAAACAAACATACTTTAAAAAATATATCCCATAATATCTGGAGTCTTTACAGATCTGATACCATTTGTGTGGATTTCTTTTGACTTTTTTGGGGGGAATTTCTCTTGATTTTTAAAAATAGTACCTTATTTCCTTACGTGTTTTGTAATTTTTAATTTTGCACCCATGTTTGTTTGAACTCTAGCTACAGGAGTACTTTGATGCCTGGTTTGAGAGTGTGTTCTTCTGGAGGTGGTTTATGTTAGCCTCTGATAGACATTGGAAACCTGGTCCACTTTATTATTTTTATTTTTTTCAGGTTTACATCATTATATTTTGGTTTCTGTGTAGATTACTTCATGTTCACCACCCAAAGACTAATTACCATCCATCACCACACATGTCTGCCCAGTCGCCCCTTTCTTCCTCCTCCCTCCCCTCTTCCCCTCTGGTAACCACCAATCTAATCTCTGTCTCTATGTGCTTGTTTGTTTTTATCTTCTTTTTATGAGTGAGATCATACGGTATTTGACTTTTTCCCTCTGAGGTATTTCTCTTAGCATAATAGCCTCAAGCTCCATCCATGTTGTTGCAAATGGCAAGATTTCATCTTTTTTTTTTTAATGGCTGAGTAGTGTTCCATTGTGTATACATACCACATCTTCTTTATCCATTTGTCCATTGATGGGCATCTAGGTTACTTCCAAGTCTTGGCTATTGTGAATAAGGCTGCAATGAACATAGGGGTGCATATATCTTTATGCATTTGTGTTTTCATGTTCTTTGGATAAATACCCTGCAGTGGAATAGCTGGATCATATGGTAGTTCTATGCTTAATTTTTTGAGGAATCTCCATACTGTTTTCTATACTGGCTGCACCAGGTTGTACTCCCACCAGCAGTATATGAGCATTCCTTTTTCCCCACATCCTCTTCAACACTTGTTATTTCTTGTCTTGTTAATTATAGCCATTCTGACGAGTGTGAGGGGATATCTCATTGTAGTTTTGATTTGCATTTCCCTAATAATTAGTGATGTTGAACATCTTTTCACGTGCCTGTTGGAGACCTCGTCCACTTTAAATTACAATTCTTAGTGTATAGTTTTTAGGACCATGCAAGTCTTATAGGTTGCAAACTTGGGGAGACTTTTTGTAAAATATCTGCACTAAGTCAAAGTTGAGACAGATACTTTTTCTTGCAGTCCTCTGAGGGGTGGATAGTTTTTTTCCCTAATTCTTTCCCTGAGAGTATGGCACTTCCAAGGTCTCCAGCTTTTAGAGATGGTCCTCATTCTGGTTTTTATCCTGTCCAAACCCAACACTTGTCCCTCATTCCCCTGTGGCCTAAGATTAGCTTTAATTAGGTTAATTAGATCAGATTAACCTATCTGGTCCACTGTCCCTCTAGCCACTCTGTGACTTCAGTGTTTGATGACCTCCCTAGTCCAGCTCCTGCTTTGCTCATGTGCTCAGCACATGTCCCCTATTGTCTTGCAGGCTCATTCAGTCATGGAAAAGGATGTTTGAACATTTTTTAAGGATAATTCAGTGTTAGGAAGTGGGAAGGCTTCAAGATCTCTAGTCTGCCATATTGCCAGGAATAGAATAGAAATTGCTTACTTTAAAAAAATAAAAAGAGTGAATTCAAGATTATCCCCACACTATTGCAGACACTTGTGTTCTGACAAACTGGATAAGTGAGAGGAGGGTGGTGTTATGGGTCATGAGAGTTGCTCAGTCCCCAGCCTGTGCTGCAGTGCATGGTACCCTGTGCTTGGGTTTTCCTCGGGGGTCTGGGCCATCACATATCCTGCCTCTCTATGCAGCATATATGAATTACAGGTGGAGACATCTAAACCACTTAAATGATAATAACAGCTATACAAGGATAAAAAATATGAAAGTTTGAGAGGATGATAGGATGCTTTTGACGCAGAGCAGAACCTTGTCCTTACACACCATTCATTCATTCATTTAACAGATGTTTATTGAACTCTTACTATGTGTCATTCACTGTGTTGGGCACTGGGACATAGATCAATAGTCCCTGTCCTCAAGAAGCTCACAGTGGAATGAGCAGTTAATTTCAGTGGGGCATGATAAGGAATATGACACAGGTAGAACCCTAACCCAGCTTTAGAGTATTGAGGAGGGAGGTAGTGTCTATGCATCTGCAGGACCAGTAGGAGTTATCCAGGTGGAACCATGGAAGGGCTTCCCGCACACAGGGATAAGAATGTGCAAAGTTGCCGAGCCAGAGAGAATCTGGGTTTGGGGAACTGCAGGTAGGTCATCTGGCCAGAGCATAGTGGGGAAGGTGTGAGAGTGGAGCAGGGAGTGATGAGAGCTGAGCCTGGAGATAGTCTGTGGCCTAAATGTGGAAGGCCCTATAACTTAGGAAACTGTTGAATTGTCCTCCCTGGTAATGAGTCATGCTGTCAGAGTCGTCATGTTTATTTCTCTTAAGGGCCAACTCTTATGGAAGAGAAAGAACTGGGCTTAGGAGTCAAGGAAGGCTTATATTCAGATTTCGCTCCACCTCTGTCTGGGTGATCATGTAATCGACTTAAGTACCTTCTCTGAACCTGTTTCTCGTGTGATAAATGAGAGAGAATGGACTAGAACCTCCTAAGGCTGCTTCCTTTTCCAGTATTCCGTGGAGGTGTTAGGAAGTAAGAGAAAAAATGTCAATGTGTTCGCATACACAAGCTTAAATAAGGTGGTACTCAAATTTATGAATATTTGCAGCTATTAGCCTGACAGTAATTCTGGCTTCCAATTAGCTGCTTAACTTCTAACTATGAATTGTGGATATTCACAAAGAGTGGGTATTTGTTGAATGAGTAAATTTTTGTATCTGAAACAAAATGTTAGCAGTATGACTTTCATTGCCTTGCAAGTGACCCAGCTTTTATTTTCTTTTGTAGATGAGCTCTCTCTGGAACAGCACAACCTTTCTCTATCCTCCGTGGAGCTCACGCTGAAGAAGAGCACCGTGCACAGCACTGCACATGTGGCCTTAACAGAAACTGCTCCAGGGTCCCAGCAAAGCCCTTCTCTTCACGTCATATCATCTCCATCTACCACTCCTTTTGATACAACCTTTTTTAACCAAGGAAAACTGACCCAAAATACAGCAGATCACAGCATCTTTGTGGCAAATTACGTGTCAGTGACGAGCAACGAGGTGGTCATAAATGATGATGAAATGGATAACTTTTTGCCAGAAACTCACTGGACCACTTCCCATGCGGTTTCTTCAATACAGGATGTCACAGTCGGCCCACTGGGGCAGCCCGAGGAAACCTTAGACTCTATGCTGACTCCATCATTACCCGCGATTTCTTTACAAGATGAAGAAGTGACGTCAGCCTGGCAGAACACAGTGCAGCAACCAACAACGAGTGCTGAGGCCCCCAGTCATTTCGATGCTTTTCCGTCAGCTCTTTCCACTTCTGAGGGCATAATTCCAACTCCTGGGAGGAATTTGGTGCTTTATCCTACTGACACTTATGGGCACTTACCAAGCAGGACTTTGCCAGAGATCGTGGCTTCAGGAACAGAGGATGTGGAAACCCTCCCTTTTAGCGCGCCATCTTCAGTGCCTCGGCCGTTAGGCGATGGCATTACTCAACAGCCATTTCCCCGCTTGGAGGAGGTCTCACCGTCTCCAGAGGATGTTCTGGCCACAGGTGCAGACAGATACCCTGATGTGACCACTGCTTTGCTTCAAAGTCTGAAAGAAGCCACCTCTCCAAGAACGTACTCTGCTGCAACTGTATCACAGACAGCCCTTGCTTTCAGCAGCAGCAGCAGCAGCAGCACAAATTCAGATTTGTTTTCAACTCCTCTTGCATTTGTATCCTTTTCTACTCAACCTGCTGATGTTTCATATAACCCCTTTCTTGCCGGCAACTCCATCGAAACATCACAATCGCCTGGCAATTCGGTGGTCCCAAGTCATGTAGCCGAGACTCACGTTGGGAGCCCCATGTCTTCACTCAGACCGTACACATGGTGCATGTCCTGCACTCTGGCGTCGCCTCAGCACGTTCTGTCAACGAGCCTCATGGAGAAAGACGTGGGATCTGGGGATGGTGCTGAGACCCTGTCTGTGACAGTATTGGAAGTGAGCAGCATCTCTCCACTGAGCAGCGTAGTAGTGGACTTCTCTGAATTTGAAGGAGAGCCTCAAGAATTTAATACACTTTTTCCCTCAAGACCGATAGTTCCACTTTCTTCTCGATCTGTGGAAATCTCAGAAAGGAGCACTGGTATTTCAGCCGAGGCGGATATGAGTATTGTTATGACCACACCAGTGTATCCTTCCCACGGCCACCTCTCTGTACCAGTGTCACTCGATACTGCTACTTTGGGCTTGTCCTCTGTCGCTGAAACACAAGTAATGCCATCCAGTGTAACAGCTGTGTTTTCCTCGGTCACCACCAGTGTTCTCCTTGACTCATCTTTCCCCGTCACAGCAAACAAAAACACACCATCGCTTGCTCTCAGAGACCCAAGTCTTTTTGCGTCTTACACTTTGGCTCCTTCAGTAGAGTCTTCACTTTTCCCTGACCGAGAACCAGCCAGTTTTTCCCAACATGAAACTGGAAGTATTTTGGATTTTGCCTCTAGCTTTTTCTCAACTCCACTGCTGGAATTCAGCAGCTTGGTCCCCCTATCTTCAGAAGTACTTTCTTCTCCATCTCTGATGTCAAGTGATTTGTCAGTCTTCTTTTCTCAGACTTTTTCTACCTTGGTTGAGACACTTATCTTGTCTGACTCTATCCACTTGCAGTCACCTCAGCTTTCTGTTCCTAATTCCACAAACCTTGGATTTTCTCAGCTCCTGCCAAGTTCAGACTTGCTTTTAAATACACTCACTGTTCTGCCTAGTTACTCTGAAACATCACTACGGTCCAGCTTCCCCTCTGATTCTCTCAAGTTCTCTGAAGCATCAACAGTTTCACTGGCAGATTCTGAAGGTCATTTTACCTCAGCCCTCACTGAAACTACCTCCTATTTTGAGTTTTCACTCATCTCCCATGAATCCGCAGTCACCACACTGGGGCCCTCCAGTTCTGAGCCCACCCTTGACATTTGGACTGCTGGAACTCACTCAACCTCACTTTTGACTGCTTTTCGTACTACACCCATTTTAACAGAGTCTTCTCTCTTTTCAACTCTGATACCTTCCAGTGAGGATATCAGTGCTACAAATGATCACACGTCTGTCTTTTCCTCTTTCTCCAAAGTCATTCCTACCACTACAGTACTGGTCACTGCCGTGTACTCGTCATCAGCGTCCTCATTGGTTTCTGAGCTGACCCCCTCATCTCTGCCTACAGAGCCGATCTTTGTGGGCCCGTCATTCACACCCACAGACCTACCGATGAACACCTCCACTGAACTGAGCACATCTAATACCAGTGCTGCCCCTGATAATACCATTGGCACCACCCTGAACAGCAAAACTGCAAGTCAGAATCCCCACAGAAGCAGCACGACGCTCCCCCTGCCATCCCTTCATCCGGTGATCACCCCCACTCCTCAAGCACCAGTTGATACTCCAGCACTGGTCACCACCAAGCTGCCATATGTATGTGATATTACAGTTCCTGATGCCTATTTGATCACAACTGGTAAGGCCCTACTTCAAGTCACTTGGTTGGGGTGATCCTTCTAAGGTGCTTGTATGAAATGCTTATTTGATGCGCAGCAGCATGGTAGAGAGTGCAGGCTTTGCCCCCAGGGAGCTCCTGGGTTAGTAATCTTCCCTCCTTTGCCTATCACCTGTGAGTTCTCTGGACAGTTACTTAGCCTCTCTATGCCTCAGTTTCCTCAACTATTAAATAAGAATGATAGTGGCACCTACTTCTTTGGGTTATGGTAAAGACGAATGCATTAATATGTATAAAATATTAACCCAATGTCTGGCACATGAGAAGCACCCATAAAGTATTACATGTTAGTAGTAGCAATAAGAACAAATAAGTTTTCAACAAGCCTTAGAAGCTTTTCGCAGGATCTTTGTCTTGGGAGCTCATAACCCAGTGGATGCGTAGATGACAATGGTTAAAACTAACACCTTCGTGTTTAGTTCCACCAGTTAATTGGGCAAGTGTGTAAGGGCAACCATTGCAATTTCTTCCGAATTTATTATTCTTACTTTTCCTTGAAAGGAGGGGGCACTTTGCTCTTATATATTCCCATAAATGTCACTTGGATCCTGAGGAAAGAAACATGGAGTGACTAAATATCCTCTGAATTCAGTCACAAGCTTTACCTTTCTCCCCTGTCTGCAGCCTGAGTGACTACTGAACAAGCGGCAGCTTCCCGCCTGCTTTAGTCACATGAAACTGGAGTACATTTGATGTCATGTCTGTGCAAGTCCCCTGACTGTGGCCTGCTTGATCAGGCTCTCCAACTTGTTCTTCAGGAGAAATGACAGGTTGTGCGTGAAGTCTCGTGACCTGTTAATATACACTTAAATACAACATAATATTGATGAGCAGCCTGGCTCTGTGTGTTGATTTTGATGAGGTTGGGGATAGAAATGAAGAAGGGGGAAGAAGGTGGTGGTAGAGGTAGGAGAGGAATGGAGTGAAGTGGACGAGCAAAGAGGAACAGGGAAAGGTGGAGGTGAGGAAGGAGGAGGAAAACATGGTTGCTCTTTTTTCTCCATGCTGAGGGAGGTGGGCCAAGGATCCTCTGCTCACCATGGTGGTGCTACCACCCTCTGAGAGGATTGGGAGCAGCTGAAGCTTTTGCTCTCCTAGCTCTGTCGCTCCCTCAAATAAGGAACCACCTGTCAATTCACGTGACAGGTAATTACTGAGCACTGGGTATGTGTGAGGTGCTTTTAGAAGCTTTAAGGGACATCCAGATGAATGACATGGTCCCATCCCTCAAGGAGCTTAGAGTCCAGTAGGGCAGGTGCTGCCATGTCTTCCTGGTAGCTGTGATGAGAATGGTTGATGCAGAGTTCTGTAAGAGTGACTATTTGGGATGATCGGGGATGGGTCTGGAAGGACGTGAATTGGAGGTGCACGTTAAAGATGAGTAGAAGGCTGTTATCTGGAGACGGAGGGAAGTGTCCTCCAGGTGGAGGGTATGAACACAGGTGGAGAAGTTCGATGGCCCAAGGATGTTCAGCTTGGCTGGATTAGACTGTGTCATGGGAGGAGAGGTAGTTATGCTAGGAAATGAGGTTGGGACAAAGTGGTGAATCTTCGTCTGCAGGATTAAAGTAGTGCAGAGGAGAGAGAAAAGAGTTTCTCATAGACAAGATGCTTTTCTTCCTTCCCACAAAATTATTACATAATAGCTACAAAGTGATCAGTTACCAGAAGCTTATTAAAGAACTACTGAAAGTTTCTTTATCTCTGGAATCCCATGATACTTATGACACTTATAATTGTAATGCATCCTTTAGAATTTTTCTACAAATAATTAGAAACCATTTTAGAAGTATCTGGAAGAATATCAGCATATATATAAAGCAATGATCAACCTTCATATAAGACATACATTTAATGAATTTGGTGCCCTTTTTTAGGGATCCATGTATTTCTAATAACTTTTTGGGGTAAAATTCATGCATTGTGAATGTATACTTTGACGGTTTTAGTAAATAGGTTTGTGCGTAAGTATTCATACTGTTATATTGCCTCTTTCAGTGGAGATGAGGCTGTTTTTCTCTCATTGATATTTTTGGCCCAGAGCGAATATCACCTCGTTTAGAATCTTTATTTGGATTTGAGCTTGCTGCGGTTTTAGCTCTCACCCCAATTAACTAGAGAAGGTGGAGGTAACGGTAGGGGCCACAGGCCTATTTAGAGTGACTGTTGGATGGTTGTCCTGAGCGATTCCTTTAGCCGGAGGGGCTACTTACAATATGTGTTTCCTCCTTTCCTCTTTAGGGTTTCCTGTCTCTGACTTTCCATTCTCCTCTACTTTCCCCAAGTTTAGCTCTTGAGACCTTTCCTTCCTTCCCTCCCTGCCTCCCCCTTTTCCCCCTCCCTCCCTCCCTTTCCCTTTTCCCTTTCTTTTCCTTCCCACTCATTTTTATCTTTCCCTTTAAAATGTGAACTGCAGTCTGGTCCACTTGGAGCCCGTGTGGCCCGCGCCGAGTTGGCTGCTGGCGTGACTCAGCAAGGGGGTCAGGGGCCCTGATCTGTTCTAATGGTCTCGTGAACTAAAGAAGTCCCTCCTCACTTTTAATATCAAGGTCACTGATCAGTAAAGAAAACAGTCAAACGTAACAAACACTTGTTTTTTAAAAGAATGAAAGTTACAGAGTGATTCTGTCTCCAGTTTAAAAAATTCAGAACAGGAAATGGAAAACCAAATAATAATATCAAGTGTATTTTGATTCTGCATTATGAGAAGTTAATGGAAGAGGAAAGAAAAAATAATAGGGAAAAGAAAGGGGAGCAGGACATGCTTCCTGAACACTGAAAACATCCTTGCTTATTGCAGATTTTTAAATAGAATGTGTTAGGTGTGGAAGGAAAATTAAACATAGCTAGATTTTGTTATAAGAAATATTTCCTATGTAAAAGGTTAATACGTAGGAATTGTGAAAATCTTTTTTTTCCCCTTATTGGTGGTGAAAACCCTTCACTTGCTATGGTGAAAAGTTGGGGTAGGAAACCTCATTTTACAGAGGAAGACGTCATCTAGTTTTCTTGAGTAACGTCTGAAGGCCTTTTAAAATATTACTGCTGAGAGTTTTTAAAACCTTGTATTTTACCATTAGGGGCATAGCCAAGGGAAAACCTGGTCTTTGCCCAGATGAAAATGAGAACTCCATGCTCTCTATCCCCTGGCTGGGCCACAGCCACTGGTTCCTGGTCTCAACCACCGTGGCAAAGAGAGTCGAGAGTTCTCTTAGCACCTGGTACCTTCAAGATGCACTCCTCTTCCTCTGTTCTTTCCAACTCTGGTTCTTATTTTAAAAAATGATTTTGGGAGCTGCTGACATGCTTGGGCCCAGCACAGGCTCTGCCCCGGGGTCCAGAAGCGTGATGTCTGCATTACTTGTGACACTAAACTGCGTTTGCTGGTTGGCTTTGCCTCGTAGTGCTGGCCAGAAGAGCCGTGCAGGAGTACATCATCACATCCATCAAAGAGGTGTTGAGGATTCACTTCAATCGTGCCGTGGAGCTCAAGGTGGGTCCCCGGGCGGGGGGTCTGACTCGGGAGCCTGGGTTGAAGGCAGTTTCTAATGGTAGTGGAGCATTCTCCTTCCCTCCCTTCTCTTGGTGAACCCTTGCTCATCTTTGGATCTCCACTCAAATGTCACTTCTTCAGGGAAGCCCTTCCCGACCCCACACGAGGCCAGGTTTAGTCAATGAGAGGGATGTGTTAGCAGAGTTGGAACAAAGGGGCTCTTAGCCTAGAGTTTGGGGTGAAGACCTAATGATTTTGCTTCCCTTGATTTACGTGAAAGGAGTTGGATTAGAGTTAAATTAGACTTTGGAGTGAGTCTGTCTGCGTGTTTCTCCACATTCAGTGGGATAGGGATAGATTTTCCGGACGTTTTGTAGTGGACCCCGAGCTAGTGCCTCCCGTTCCCGCTGAGCTCAGACAGACACGCTCTAGACCTGCACCACCCCAAACGGGGCCACGAGCCACATGTGGCTATGGAGCACGTGAAATGGGGCTCTTCCAAACTGAGGTGTGCTGTAAGTGCCAAATACACACCGGATTTCAGACTTAGCGAGAAAAGGAATGTAAAATATCTCGCTAATAATTTTTTGCATTGACTACCCATTGAAATGATATTTCATATATATTGGGTTAGCTTCTTTTTATGCTTTTTAATATGGCTATTAGAAATGTTAAAATTGCTTATGTGGCTCACAAATTTCTTTTGGACAGCACTGCTCAGCAGAGAAGTGCCCCTTTGTATGTGGGTTAGATACAATAAACGCCTTGAATTCTCCGTAACTCGTTATTCAGTTCATGTTATTGGCTGTCCTTCTTTCCTGTCCTTGCTCTTGTAATTTGCTGTTGTTTTCGAGAAGGTTGGCAGATGTGTAAAAGGAATAACTAAAGTAAAATTTGAATTATCTGTGCAACAGTACCCCTTCATTCAAAACTACCTATTTATTTTTTACCTTACTTTGTTATTTTTCTACACAATACAGCTGCTTTTAAGTTTGAATTTTTGTACTCTCAAATTTGATAATGATTGTCTTTCGTATTTTTTGCTTTCATAGGTTTATGAATTATTCGCTGATTTCACTTTTCTGGTAACATCTGGTCCTTTTGTGTACACGGCAATATCAGTCATAAATGTACTTATAAATAGTAAACTTGTACGTGACCAAACTCCTTTAATCCTGGCTGTGAAACCTTCCTTCCTTGTGCCAGAGTCCAGGTTCCAAGTCCAAACAGGTGAGAAAAATGAGCATAGTTGTTTTGATTTGTAAATAGAATCACATTTTCTTTTTTATGTTTTTAAAAAATTGGGGGATGATTTAAAAAAATGTATTTAGATTTTCAAAAAACTTTATGGAAAATTTCCAGCATATACAAAAGTACATAGAATAGTTTAATGAACCCCCATTGTATGGCTTCAACATTGTATGGCTTCAACAATTTTCAACTCCTGGCCAGTCTTTTTACATCTATATGCTCATCTACATTCCCTCCTCTCATGTTATTTTGATATGGCACCGTGTCATTCATAAATATTTCAGCCTATGCCTCTAAAAGATGAAGATTATTCAATAAATACATACACCCCACCTGTATATACATACATAGACCCACACACATACATGTATGCATATATAGGCACAATACATATATATGTGCATATGTACACGCATATACATCTGTGCACAGTACCATTATCATACCCCCTAAAATTAACAGCAATTCCTTAATATTATTTTAAATTTTTTATTATAAATGTTTTCAGACATGCAAAAGTAGAGAAAGTAACATATTTAGCCCACATATGCCCATCACTAAGCTTAAAAGATTATCAACATTTTCCTAATTTTGTTTCATCTATCCCTCACAACGTTTTTTGAGGAAGTTAGAGTGTTTTAAAGCAGTAGCAGATAACAGGTCATTTCATCCATAAATACGTAAGAATTCATCTCCAATGGATTTATATATATTTGAAATGTTTTAGTTAGTTGCATCTTTGGATGCTCAAATTGTTTTCTTAGGTATGTCTCCATTTAAAAATGATGACGTCACCGTCACGTTGCATCTATTCATTTGGTGCAGAGTTGGCTTTCTGCATTTCCATGTTATGTATATATAAATAATGCATGGTAGTAGTTAATCCTGTACTATGGATGAATTAGTTGATTTAGATATTGTTTTCCCCTCTCCTCATTCCTTAATACTAAAGAAATGCCTGGTTCATGGCACTGATTGCTCTCCTTCTTTCAGTACTTCAGTTTGTGCCTCAGAGTGTGGATACTGGCTTCTGCAACTTCACCCAGCGCATTGAGAAAGGCCTGATGGTAGCTCTCTCTGAAGTGAGAAAACACCACCAGGGGACGTACAACCTCACGGTGCAGGTGAGAATAGCACTGAATGCAGAGCAAGATGCTTTATCCTTTAAAGAGGAGCTAGTTTCATTTAAGACACACTTAACTGTTACTAATTCCCTCCAGTGGAAGAAATTCAGTTCACCTGGGTCAGGGTGATCTCTTTCCATGGCATCAAGTCCACAGAGCATGAGTAGGGTGAGCGGATTTGAAGGTGGTGGGGGGAGGGCAGGGTAACCCGGGAGCTCAGATGTGGTGAGCTGAAGAGAGATGACCACATGCAGGAAATTCAGGAATGTTCTAGAAAGGAACTGTATCAACTTAAATACCCAATGTGGGGAATGCCTAAATACCCTAGTGTTTCATATTATGGAATCCCATGAAATGCTGTGCTTCACTCTAAAGACAGAGACTATAGCTACTGATCAAAGAACAGGCTTTGTGTGTATTGTGTGCAAACTGCTGATGTTTTTGTTATTCTTTGATATTTTTTCCTTCCTATTCTTTGTTCTTTCTTTCTGGAATTCATGTTAAATAGATTTTGGTACTCCTGGAGTCACCTTCCGGGTTTCTTATTTTTTTCTTATATTTTCCATCTCTTTTTTTTTTAATTCCCTATTTTTACAGATTTTGTAAACTTTGTCCTCCAAGTCATTAATTGTCTTCAGCTGTGTCCATTATGTTATTCAGTCCCTCTATTGAATTTTCTTTTAGCCATCATTTGTTTTCATTGTTCTTTGCTCCTTTTTCATCGCAATCTTTCTGTAACAATGCAGGATTATCTTGAATAAGGATGCAGAATCACTTTGAAAGTCTCCGAAGACATTATTTAGAAGTTTTAAAAAGTTGTATTCCATTTCTTGTTATCTCTGTTTTCTCTGCAACCATTGTTCTGTGTCGATCTTGGTCCTTTGCTTTCGTGCTGTCAGTTTTCTGTAAATATCTGGAGGTGGTTGGTTGTTTGTCGTTAGAATGAAGAAGCGGGTGGTTAGTTTGGGCAGCTTGTTGAGCTTCCCCTTCAGCTGTGGAGTCTGTGTTTATATCAGACCTGCCTCCTGATAGGAGAAGTCATTGGAACACTGAGTACTGGGCAGAGAATATGGCTGGTGGGCTTCTCTCTTGGGGCTGTGTGTGGTCAGAGACAGGCAGACTTGGACCTCCTGCCCCCAGTGTAAGATAAGGAAGTTGTTCCCTGGAGACGGAGCACTTTAGTGGAATTTTCATGGCAATGCTGCTTTTTCTTTCCTTCTTTCTCTCTTCATGCACTGGAGTTATCTTGGTCTCTACCCACCTGCCTGCTTAGGGGCAAACCCACAGTAGGTCTCTTAGCCCTCTCTGACAGGGAGCTTATTTTCTTTAGGGAGCAGTTCTTTGGGCTATTCTGGTGAAGATGTGGCTGCTGCTGGCACCTCTGTGTTGGCCTGGGTGTGGCAGTTAGAAAGGAAAGAAAAGGGAGGTGGTTAACTCAGCTCTGTGGCACACAGTCTTTAATTATACTGATAGTGTTCTGGAGCCTACTGTTGGTCTAGTTCCTGCCATCTCTGCCATGGAGCCTCTCCAGGGCCCCTGGGGAGAATGGTTTTCAGCTCTACTGCTGTCTGTGCCCGTGTATGTTTTGGGTCTCGGTTCCCTCAGTTCTGGTTTTTATCAGTGTGATCCCATCCTCTCTCCATCTTCCAGAAATTTGACACGATCTCTGGTTTTCTTCCATTCTCAGTGCTGTCGTGGATTTAGTCTCCTTTGTTCAGCTGATTGTAATTTCAGTGGGATTTGGGGCGGGAGGGAGGGGAGGGACTATGAATACAGGTGCTCGGTTCATCACTAAGTGAAAAAGCATTTTCAGTAAATGGAGAATTTAAAGTATTGCAAAAGGGAACCAGGTTGTAAACCAGTTAGTTCCTTTGAAACTGTCACATCCTTTTTAAAACAATCAATGAGAGAAATTGTGAGAGGGAAATCATAGTCAAGCTTTTAACTGAATGTTTTAATCTATTTTAGAAGCTTATTCCAACTTCCTTCTTTCAGATCTTGAATATCACCGTGGGTTCTTCAAGGGTGGCTCCTCGGCGGGGCCCAGTGAACATCGTCTTTGCTGTGAAAGGCTCGCAGGGGTTTCTGAATGGGTCGGAAGTGAGCGAGCTGCTCAGGAACTTGAGTGTGGTGGAGTTCAGCTTCTATCTGGGATACCCGGTGCTACAGATCGCCGAGCGTGAGTACTGCTCTCCTGTGAAGCACTGGGAAAGGGGCCGCGAGTGTTTTCGTTGGTGGACCTCTCTCGTTCAAATGAAATATTTGGGTGAAACCCAGAATATAAATCAGATCAAATTGGAGCTTCTCGACTCAAGCCAGGGTGGGTCTCCAAAGCCTTCCTCTCCTCAGCCACCGGCCCTTACCACCTTATTCTTCTCTTTTGAGAATAAAGGGGCAGAGTTAAAGACAACACCAGTTCTGGAAAAGGTGAAACCAGAGGACAGAGAACAGATCTGTGGTTGCCAGGCATGAAGGGTGGGAGGAAGGCTAGACCTCAGAAGGGTAGCAGAAGGCAATTTCGGGGGAGCGATGGGACTGTTCTGTATCTTTATTGTGGTGGTGGTTCCAGGACCCTATGCATTTGTCAAAACCCATAAAACTGTGTACCAGAAAGAGTGAATTTTACTGCATGTACGCTTTAAAGAAGAATAATAAATGAAAGCAAACAAAGCCTTTCTTCCTGGGTGAAGCAATTAGTCATGGTGCAGTGGAGTAGGGTGGGGGTGGGGGGAATGTTTACTTCAAAAAACAGTAGATTCCAGAGTTGCAGTCAGGCAAAAAAAAATCAAATTCTTTTTCAAAATGTAACAGCCAAATGGTCTGTTGATTCTTAATCTATTTTAGTGTACTGTTAATTAAATGAAAAAGAATAACTTGTAAAATGCAAAAGTAGACAGGTAAAATTGTTATTTACAAATAGTAACTTTCAGTTATGTACAGTGCAGGTATGCATAAAATAATAAGTATGCTGGACAACAGCGGTCTGCTGGGACCGTCCCAGACAAGCAGGACATGGGTCACTTTACCCTGAGTCATTGCTGGGAAATGCTAGCGTTCTGGGGGAACAGAGTGTGAAAACTCACTGCTCTGGAACAGTGACATTTCAAGGGGAACATGTGGGGGATCACCGTGAAGCAGTGTCCCATGATGTCGCTCCAGCAAGTCCTTTCTTTTTCTCCCTCTTTCTCCTTGAGACTCGTGCTCAGAAACTGCTTTCTGTCCGTGCCTTCACACCGATCTGGCATTTTGCTCTTCCATATGTGGCACTAAATAGTGTGGGAAAGGCACTGTTGTGACGTACTCAGCCCTCCCTAGAACGCTTACTTTCTGATTGTTGCAAACGAGATTTTACAGATTTTTATCCTTCCCTAATCCTTTCCCTTTTATAGCCTTCCAGTACCCACAGCTCAACTTATCTCAGTTGTTGAAGTCCTCTTGGGTGAGAACAGGTATGTTTAACTTACATAGCATTTTGGGAACTGTAAGCCTAAGAAGTCTATGTGGGTGTATTGAGAATGATACTGCCTTTCCTGCTTCTGAACCCTAAATTCAGGGCAAAATGTACCTTAAATTCTTGGCTAAGAATGAATGAGAAAGGGATTCAAATTTGGCTGTGGGAATGTGTCCCACTGAGTTGTGGGACAAAAAGGATCGGCTTTCTTTAAAATTCATACATCAAGTCCAGGCCAAATTCTAACAGGAATTGACAATCTTCTGACCCAGAACAGAGTGAGGTTCGAAAGCCAGAATCTCTTTTTTGGTTTATAAGGACAAATAAGGTAGCTCAGTGAGCAAATAGGAAGCTCTTTTTAAAGTCTTGCAGGCCTAGGTCAGATATTTACAGCTATGGCATCGCCAATAAAGGCTTTCTAACCTGGTACACAAAAGTGTGAGAGACAGTCACATGCCCACCGGGTGCCCAGCGCGTAAGCAGCACGGTGAGTAACTGGTTGTGGGGAGGAGACACATAAAGGGGTGATAGTCACCATTTACATGGTGCCATACCCTGCAAGTTCCCCTTACTTAACATACAACGTCCCATGTAAAGGCCCCACCTCTTTGCATGGCACAGTGTCCCCATTTCCAGATAATTTTTGTAGCAGTTAAGTTATTTGCCCCTGGTCCTGTTTCAGAGGGGATTTGAACAGTTTTGGCTGAAAAGCGCATGCTTTTTTCTCCTATACCACTCTGACAATCCGATCGTCTGTTTAGATAATCTTGTTTATAGCAGATGTCTGAAGATAGGCACCCTTATATCCAGTCAGTTTATGAGTCCAGGTCTTGAGTCAAGATAAGATATGAACTCAAACCATTCCCAAAAGTTTTGAAATAAGTGCAGACAAGGCGTTTGGTCTTGTGTGGGAGCTCTTAGCTCCACAGCTCCTGCACTCCTGGGCTTCTAGCCACCGGTCTGCATTACACTTGGAGCTTGGAATCGTATATAAGACCCATGAGCTGCACCTGCTGGACTCTCCCGCACCCTGTTCATGTCCACTCTCCTCTCTAGGGACTGGCATTTTATGGTAATCCTATGTTAATTTCTCTTATGCACACCCCCTTTTTTCCTCCACCACTAACTTGTTCTGGGGCCTGTGTGTTTCATCTTCAATGTAGTCCTCCTGGGCGTCGTTGAGAAGCAGCTCCAGAATGAAGTGTTTCAAGCTGAGATGGAGCGCAAACTGGCCCAGCTGCTCAGTGAGGTTTCCACCAGAAGGCGGATGTGGAGAAGGGCCACCGTCACTGCCGGGAACAGCGTGGTGCAGGTATTCTAAGAAGGTCAAAGGAGGAGGGATGGAGAGAGAGAGCCATCTAAAAATGTGCTGTATTCTCACGCAAGTGGGAAATGCCGGGAGAAAATGATGATTTTGACTGATTGCTCTATTAGGTAGCAATTGAATGTGGCAGCATTTCAGTTCAACTAGAGTCTGGACAAATATTTACCAAGTCCTTAGTTAGTGATCAGTGCTACAATAGACCTTGTGGCAGCACAGCAAAAGAATCATGTCACTGGGTTGCCCTACCATTGGGTGGCCTTATTTTTCAAAATGTAGTCTTTAATACCAAAAATGTAGTCAGTAAAATGTAGTCAGTTTTATGGAATGGTATTATTGATACCATCACAGAGATTAATCATTCAGCTGAAAGCGACCGTAAGAGATCAGAAAGAGGAAAATTTTCTGCCCTCTATTCTAGGGTTGCATCCTTCCCATCTCGCCCAGCCTCGATTGTCTCATATTACCCAAAATCTTCTTCCCCTTGTCAACCGGCAGAAAGGTTACACATGACAGATTTGTTTGAATTGGAAAGTGACCCATTTTAAAGTGCACGTCCTCAGAGAGTTGGAGGTGGGGCTGTGGTTTATTCCCATCTCAAGGTGCATTATGTTATTTTGGATTCTTTTCTTTACCAACTGCTGACTTGTAGAGCTAGGAAAGTGGGATATTTAGAGCTATGGCATTTCAGAGACAGGAAACCAGGGTGAAGCCCTGAGGGCAGGGGCAGAGAGGCTGGTGGTTTAGAGGCATTAGAGAGAAAGGTGCAGAACTGACCCTGGGTGGGGAGCATGGCACTTTGCCTGGAGCTGGCATCATTGTCGCTCAACTCCTTTACCGAGTTTCCCCCTGTAAGCATTGTTCTGTTTCCCCTCCGGGAAAGGTGGTTGTTAAGTTTCCAAAATAGTTCCTTTAGCAGATACAGTAGAATATAGAGAAATCTCAAAACTGATAAAAAATTGAGAGTAATATGAAACAAATAAGGATAAAGCAAAGAATACAAATGAATTGTAAAAGCTTTGCCTTATTCAGCAGCCGTGTCTTCATAGAGCTCAAGGTCTGGGCGGAGGTTAATTTATGCACATAAAACAGTTGTGGAACACCATAAAACTACATAATGAGGTGCTAAATTAGATAGGAAAGCTCCCTGAGGTAGGAATATTGAATTTGTGAAAATTAACCAAGCCACCCCAGGCTGACGGTGCCATCAGATGGATTACTTAGAGACCGTGCCCAGCTCCTCTTCCGCCTTTGGGTGGCCAAACATGAAGGTGTAGACAAGGATTTATGTCCACAACACAGGACTCTTTGTCAAACATAATTTGTAAAAGTGGAAGTATTGAAACAACCTAAATGCCCAGCACTTGGGAGATGGGTAAATAAATATATGAAAAATATATATATATGTTGGAATATTATGCAGCCATTATTTTTTTAATTAGTGAGAGGTATAGAAAAACGTTCAAGGAGAGAGAGGCTACAAAAGAATGTATGCCATATAATCCAAATATTAATATAAAGCTCATGAAAAAAATAATGGAAGGAAATACTCCAAAATGTTTACAATGATTTTCTTTGGTTGGTTGTACTGCGAGTGATTTTTATTTTGTTCTTGATATTTTTTTTCGTGTTTTAAAAAATTTCTCCAATGAGCGTATAATTTCTATAGTGAACATGTGATTTTTTTTTTTTATGATGAAGATTGTCACTGAGCTAACATCTGTGCCAGTCTTCCTCTATTTTATGTGGGATGCCACCACAATGTGGCTTGACAAGCGGTGCCAGGTCTGTGCCCAGGATCTACACCTGTGAACCCTGGGCTGCTGAAGCAGAGTGCGCAAACTTAATCACTACGCCACCGGGCCAGCCCCTGAACATGTGATTTTAATCAGAAAATAATTTAAAAAATGCAATTGAAAATGTTGCCCACAGTGATGACTCCATCATACCATGGTTGTATGGATTCCAGATATGAATCTGATAACAGTCATCTAAAAAGGATGTTGGAATTAGATTTTACTGACTATTACTTTCAGATTGGACAAGCTTGTGGAATCGTTAATCAAGGTGGCTACCACTGGATATTTGAGTATATGGTTCTGCAAGAAGAAACCATACTTCTAAAATTTATCAGAACTTCTCAATGGAATAAATAGGCACATAGGTAGAGGGACAAGTGGATATAATCTACTTGCTTTTCAGTAGCCTTTTGATAGTATTCCATTCTAAAGGCTAATAAAAAATTAATCACTATTGCACAGCTCAGGAGGAGGGAGCAGGTGGTTAGGGAACAGAAGTGGTCAGAGAACAAGCAAAGGACAGGACAAGTGAGCCCTTCTCAGGGTGGAGAGGAATAAAGAACAGTTTCTCCAAGGATGAGAGTTTGGACCTGTGTTGATAAGGATCTTAAACATGGTCTGGAGGAAGGCATTCACTGTGAAATCATGAAATTGTTGATTTGCCAAAAGTTTCCACTGGTGAAGAAGGAGTCTAGCCGTCGTGTCCAGAGCACAAGGCAGTATTACAAATCCGTACGCGTGGGTAGAAAAATAGCAGTTGCGTTTTGCCAATGGCAAGTGCAGAGATCAAAAATTCAAATTGTGTGTATGAAACAGAGGGCCCTGAGTCATTGTTGATCATTTTCTCAGAACATCAGTCTAGTGTTTTGCTCAAATCTAAAAGGGCAATAAAATTGTTGCATATCATTAAGGGAAATAACAAAATAGAAAGCTGTATTTATGCAAAACTGTGATGTATCAAGTGTACTGGATTCTGAAGTATTAATGTGAAAGGGCTACCCTAACACCAGAGAGAGAGAAATTTTGGGACAAATCAAAGTACTATGTGACCCAGCAGATTATGAATTTGAGATTTTTTGCCCCCAATTTGATTGAGATATAATTGCCATATAACACTGTGTAAGTTTAAGGTGTACAGTGTGATAACTGGGTATAAGCATATATTTCTAAATTACTACCACAATAAGGTTGGTTAACACATCCATTGCTCACAGTTATCTTTTTTTTTTTTTGCCATGAGAAATTTTAAGATCCGCTGTCTTATCAACTCTCAAGGGTACAATACAATATTGTTAACTGTGCTCACCATGCTGTGCATTAGATCCCCAGAACTTACTTATCTCATAATTGAAAGTTTGTACCCTTGACCACCTTCACCCTTCCCCCCGACCCCCTTGCCCCTGGCAACCACCAGTCTACTCTCTGTTTCTGAGTTTGGTTTTTTAAGATTCCACATATAAGTGAGACCATACAGTATTTATCTTTCTCTGTCCGACTTATTTCACTTAGCATGAGGCCTTCAGGGTCCATCTGTGTTGCAAATGGCAAGATTTCCTTCTTTTTATGGCTGAATAATATTCCATTGTGTGTATATATATACATATATACACACACACACACACATTGCATTTTCTTTATCCATTTATCCATAGATGCACACTTAGGTTGTTTCTATGTTTTGGCTATTGTAAATAATGCTGCAGTGAAGAGTGGTGTACGGATATCCCTCTAAGATACTGATTTCATTTCCTTCAGATATATACCCAGAAGTGGGATTGCTGGATCATATGGTAGTTCTATTTTTTAATTTTTTGAGGAACCTCCAAACTGTTTTCTATAATGGCTGTACCAATTTGCATTCCCACTAACAGTGCACAAGGGTTCCCTTTTCTCCACATCCTCACTAGCACTTATCTCTTGTCTTTTTGCTCATAGTCATTCTAACAGGTGTGAGGTGATATCTCTTGTGGTTTTGATTTGCATTTCCCTGATGATTAGTGATGTTGAGCATCTTTTCATGTACCTGTTGGCCATTTGTATATCTTCTTTGGAAAAATGTCTATTCAAGTCCTCTGCCATTTTTAAATTGGATTGTTTGTTTTTTTGCTGTTGAGTTTTATGAGTTTCTTATATATTTTAGGTATAAACTCTTTATCAGATATATGATTTGCAAATATTTTTTCCCATTCCACAGGTTGCCTTTTCATTTTGTTGATTGTTTCTTTTGCTGTGCAGAGAAAGCACAGCTTTCTCTCTCTTTTGCTGTGGGAAGAATATGTGTTCTGCTGCTGTTGGATGGATTGTTCTGTAAATGTTTGTTAGGTCCATTTGATCTATCGTGTGGTTCAAATCTGCTGTTTCTTCATTGCTTCTCTAACTCTGTGATCTATCCATTATTGAGAGCCGGGTATTAAAGAACTTATAAGATTTATTATTGTGACAACAGTGGCTCTCACCCGGGGGTGATTTTGCCCCCCAGGTCACATTTGGCAGTATCTGGAGACATTTTTGGTTCTCACAACTGGCAAAGGAGGGTGGGCCGGTGCTACTGGTATCTAGTGAGTAGAGGGCAGGGATGCTGCTAAACATCCTACAATGCACAGGACAGCCCCCTACATCAAAGAATTATCTGGACCAAATGACAATAGTGCCAAGGTTGAGAAACCCTGCCCTAGAGGAACAAGGAGAAAATGCTAATAGATTCAAGAGGGGATTGGACAGAACCATTAACAGTTTTGGAGAACCAGGGATGTATCTAACCCTTATGGTTGATGCTAGGAGGACAGCAGTACCCTCTCACGACAGATGGAGTTGGATGACAGCAATTCTAGACTTCTGGACTTGGCAACCCTATGTTCTGTGTATCCTACTTGGCCCTTTGACTCAGAGAAGACTGAGCAAGACAAAGGTCATTCGTTATTCCACACAGAGGAACTTTCATTTTAACTGTCCCTCTTCCCATCCAGAGAGCATCATGGTGATTCTGGGACCCAGAATGGTGTAAGGAGCTCATTCTGAGAGTTGTAATAAATCCTGAATAACATAGTCAAGACTGAGTGCCCTAAGAAACGGCATCTGGAAACGTGAGCTTCTGAGATGCTAATGGTTTCTGTTATCTTCCAGGTGGTAAATGTGTCAAGGCTGGAGGGAGATGACAATCCCGTGCAGCTCATCTACTTTGTGGAGGATCAAGATGGAGAAAGACTCAGTGCAGTCAAGTCTTCAGACCTGATCAACAAGATAGATGTCCAGAGAGCAGCCATTATCTTGGGTTACCGAATTCAAGGTGCTGTTGCCCAACGTAAGTGCCTGAGGCTTGACCCACAGTCTGCGCTGTGCTGACGTGAAACTCCAGTCTTTTTCTGACAGTGAACTCTGAATTTAAAGCACTCTTGTGTGTGGATGGTAGATTTACGTCTTAAGCCCTTATTATTAAGTGGCCCGTGTATCAGATGTCAGTTAAAATCCGTTTGCCAAGACCTTCTTTAATTCAATTGCTCGTAGTTGTAGCCTTCACTGCTGTTTTTCCTACCTAGCATTTTGTATTCATGGTGTTATAGTGAGTTCTAGTAGCTTAAGTAAGCTTTAATATTTTTTTCCCTACTCCTGTACTATTTCGGTTTTAAAAAATTTAAAAACAGGTAAAATAACCTGTTTTCTCTGTATTTATTCCCAAATCTTGTATGTCATATTTTGAACGTTGGTGGGAACAGTGAGTCACACAGGAAGCTGGGAGGCGCCCTCAGCATTTACTGGCTTCCTTCTGGGTCTTTTAACACAAAGAAGTCCTTGATCCTTACTCTTTTCAATGCTGTTTCTCTCCCACCCTAACCTCACACCACTCCACAATTTAGAAAGAGGTTTTTTGATATTTCTTTATTATTGTTGGAAGATACTAGGCTCCTGCCCCCCTAGCAATGTCTGCTCTTTTTTTCCAACTCACAGATTTTGGGTATTTAAAATGAAGAAAAGGAGAGGCACAGAAGAGTGTATTTCTCTAAATATATCTTTCTGAATCAGACTGCTGTTTTAATGTGGATGTTTTTCCTTTACGATCCATAGAGCAGTCTTGTAAGAGCTTGGTGATGCTTGCTCCCAATAGTACAGGGATAAGTAAACGTTTAGAAGGAATTGAGCGTCAGAGAATATTGAAAAACTCTTTATAGGGAATAATACATAGGAGGCAAAGGCAGTTTTAAAAAATGACAGCTTCAAAATAATCCTCAATAGTGGAAGATCCTTTGTGAAATCTATACTTGTCCCTGGAAACTAACCAGGATGAGGCCTAATAGGCACCCGTCCTCCATTTTATAGAAGGTGATGGGAGAGCTTAAGCAGATAACCATTGGTGGTTTGTGTATTTGAGATATGATTGCAGGTTAGTGTGTTCTATTTCAAAGCAGTGAGAAAAAAATAACAAAGCATTTACTTAACGTTTCTTTACATTTGACATTTCTGATTGTAGGAGAGGGGCCCAACGCCAGCTAAGCACTTTGCCTTTTAAAAAGATTAATTGCAACAGGGTACGGGCACCTTCAAGCCTGCTTCCATCTGCTCTTTGCACCCTCATTCCTCAGTTTCATGCTAAAAACCACAGGGGTAGCAATCCTGGGATCGGAAGCCTCAGCCAACACCAGGCCGGCCCCAAGCAGCTCTGCATGGACCCCGGTGTCGGGGCCTTGTTTTGATCAATCTGTGCCTCTCACAGGGTGTTACTAGGTTAGAACTGAGAAGAGTGTCCAGTTGTCCCAGCTCATCAGTGTGATTCTGTCCCTCTTTCTATATTGTCAGTTGTTTTCATGCAAAATGAGCTCCATATATAAACTATATTCGGGCCACATTAAAAAATAAATTTTGAATGCTGTCACTTTTTCCATTTCCCACAGAGTCTCTGCTCTCTGATCTGTGCTTCTTTCATAGTCCATATGCTTTGGAGTGCTTGCTCCCCTTTCTTGTCACTCTCTCAGGGGCCTAAACCTAAACTGAAACCAGTACCAAGAATCTTTTTTATTGTTACATCTTTGAGCAGAAACGTTTTGATCCCATAGCATGTGTTAACCATTATGGGATATGGAAAGAGCGTAAAACTTACTCCCTGCCCATGAAGACTGAGATGTATTCGAAAGACAAGACTTCAAGTCATGACCATATTAATGAGCAAAGTATAGTGTATCAAGATGATACATTTATGTAATAAAATGAATTTTAAAAGAATAGTAAGGTGCCATTGGCAAGACAAAGGCAATCAGAACAAAAGAACTCAGTAAGGGGGAAACGAGGGCTGTCAGGGAAAGGTTGTTATGAAGCAGCCCGAAGGGATGAGGAAGGGGGCATTTTGGATTTTGGAGCCTGATAATTGGAAGCTTGGCTTTCGAGGAGCTGAGTCCTTTGAGAGGATGAGCATGGAATGGAGAGGAGAGGTTCCAGTCCTGAGAGGCAGGGTTAGGGAAAGGAGCTGGTGAAGGAAATTAAGGAGGACAGAGAGATTGAGGCATAGTCATGAGGCCATGGAAGATGGGGGCTGAGGCAGGGGTGGGGAATGGTGGATTCAAAGTGAGTCAGTTTGATTTAATGTAATTTAAAATTGACAACTGATACCTTAAGTAAAGCAGTGTCGATTAAAAGCCATGTTTCAAGGGTTTAGGGAGAGACATAGGTGAGGAAATTAAGGACGTGCTTACAGACTACTTACTGGGATTTCTGATTTTTGGTGTGGAGCTTTCCTGTGGTGAGAATTTAGGGAGAGTTGGCCCAATAAATTGGAAGTCAGGAGACCTGGAGTTAACGCAGCTTTGCCATTGAATTAGCCACATTCCTTTAGACACGTTGTGTGTGTCACTGTGATTCCTTACGTACTGTAGATGTAATATGCTGTGTTGTGTTTGTTACTGTGTCATGTTTCCTGTCATCATTTGTCGTGAGCTGAAATGACAGGGACTGTCCAGGTTTCTCATAGAAGAAGGCACAGTCACTGCACAGAGGGCTGTCCAGCAAATGAGTGCAGACGAATTACTGAAAGACCTTTCTCCCTCGTGTGCAGCCGTGGACAGGGTAAAGAGGCCGTCCCCAGAGTCCCAGAGCAGCAACCTCTGGGTCATTGTGGGCGTGGTCATTCCAGTGCTGGTGGTGATGGTGATCGTCGTCATCCTCTACTGGAAACTCTGCCGCACGGACAAGTTGGACTTTCAGCCTGACACGGTGGCCAACATTCAGCAGCGTCAGAAGGTAAAGGGCAACCCCCCCAGTGTTCACATAGCAGTCTGTGGGCTGGGATAGGGCCAGGTCAGGCTCTTGATACTGAAAGATGGGGAGAGAGCTGGTAAGGAAATCTTCGGGCTTTAAGGGTGGTGTCCATTTGCCTTCACGTTTGCTTACTGAAACCCCAGTTCTTCTGTGGTATTAGACATATGCCAAGAAGATGAAGCTGATAAAGGCTTAGCAATGCCAGGCTTAGCTCTGAGTTCCACTGTAGTTTTATTTTTGAGATGATCAGTTAGAAGATCCCCTCCATTCTGTGTATGAACTCTGATCTATTTTAACCCTGGATATCTTCAGAGAACAGGAGCCAAGGGAGGTTTTCTCAGATCTGTGTATCTATCTCTTTCATACCCAGCTCCACTGGACGGCTCCTTCATTTTCCATCCACCATATTGCAAGCCCACTTATCCACCTTGATCAAGACCACTTAATTGTTAAAAATGGTAGTACATGCCTTAAACATTTTGACTTAAAATATATGAATGGGTCTTTATTTGCCAATCTTTTGACATACTCCAAGTCTTTCTATTAATTTTTTATGTTTTGGAGTGTTGAATTCTATGTGGTCTGTCTTGTAAGAAACAACACTCATAATGCATCAACTGCAGTTTCCAGTTTGGGTTTCTTTAGAGAAGGGCAAACCAACCTGAGCGCAGAATTCTCTAGATTTTTTCAGTACTCTCCTGTCCCGCCCTACTCTGCAATCTTTTAGAGTTAATTCACCTACACCTAATTTTACAGCAGTTTTTTTAAGCAGCTCCTTTTCCGTGCCTTTCCAGAGCATTCAATTTAGTTTTTATAGTAATAGCAATTCTCTTCTCCCACTTAGGTTTCAACAGTTTCTGCAATATTTAATTGTCACATAAAAGTTGCAAAGAAATTGGCTCTTGGTCACTATCTACCTCACCTGCCGTGAGCAAAAACATGCCAAGTACTAGAGAAGAACTCACTGGCTGCAGACATTTAGCACAGCATGCAGATCAGCCATTACCAAGCGCATGGAAAGTGGTCATCAGTCTACTATATTTACTAACATGTACCCTCTGGGGGTCTCTCAGATTTAGAGGGCTCAACTCGAAAAATTTGATAGGAAAAAGCAAGTCGCAAAAGAACAAAAAATAAAGGCTTGCCCCATTAACCTTTTAATTTTAGTCTGATTTTATGGGTATAAAAAATTCTGCACATTACAAACCCAGACGTGCTGAATGAAAAAAATAAGTAGTGTTTTTTATTTATTTTACTTTTGTGAAAGTAAACGAAGAGTATTCTTTGTCTTATGAATTAACTGAGATATGCGGAATCTTGATTAAATTGCCAGCTTTTGGTTATCAAGAATATTGGAAGCATTTTATACATTAAGATTATGTTTATTACCTATCTTCATTTATTATTTCCATAATTTGCTAAGGATATCTTGTTGTTAGACTAGTGAATGGCATGGGAAAAACCTGGAAAAAAGTGCTTGATATCCTAAATGATTCATAGTGTGAATTTCATTGTAATGAGATCCACAATAGGTTTGGAAATGTTTTTGTTTTGGAGAAAGACTGTTGTTACAGGGAGATTAAGTCAGTATAGACAGTTCTGCATTTAGGTCTTTTTTGTTCCATACTTCCTAACATGAGCAGTCCCACTGGAAGCCTATCCATTATCTGTTCCTTCTATACACTATCAGAGGACAGCATCTCATGAGTTCAAAGCAGGATGTTCCCCAAGCTTTCTCTTTCTGCCACTTTTACTTCTGAAATATTTTCACGTCCCAGATGTTGCTATAAATCAAATGGACAGAGTTTCAATAGAACTTCCAGCCTTAGGAGTTGCTCTTTTTCTATAAGTGCTGCAAGGATTTTTGCATACATTTTACATCATATTTACAGGGAACGTCTGCGTGGAGGGTTCCCTGAGACCGAGTGTCTTCTGACACTGTCAGGAGGGGAAAACCTCAACGATGGTTCAGAAGCATGGTCTTTGTTTTGCTGGCATAGGAACCCACCGTATAGATGTTGATAATAGGAAAAGAATGATCTCCTTTTAGTTTAAAAGCAAATATAAGCGTTTCTTGTAAGAGTATCTGGCAATAACAACAGGCCTCTAGCCCCTTCCTTTGGGCAGTTTGAAAAGATGCTATTTTCCCCCATGACTGTAAAAGTTCTTTCTCCTCCTTGTGTGGCTTTCTGTTTTCTCTCTCTCCATTCTGGTCACCCCGCCCCCTGACGCTGCCTCTCCACTACTCTCAGAAATCTTTTAGCAAATCCCAGAGCTACAAACATCTGGAAACAATAAATCTGCTGACCAAAAATCCACACCCCCTTCCCCTTGTAACGAGAAGGAAACCTCTTCAGATTGTCTGGGAGTAGATTAGTTTTGAAATATGATAAGAGGGGGAGGCCATCCTGTCACATTTTGAGGCAGGGTCCTTTTTTATTTCTAATAATAAAGAATAAAAAAAAACAACCCCAACCCGTGTCTTTCTTTTATCTATGTTCTCTTTAATCTGTAGCCCAAAGTCATCACTTGTGACTGCTTCCAAAAAAACTCCAGCTTGGATCCGCCTCACCCTGTTGAGCTTCTATTTAAAGATATGAATGGCATTGGCTAGATGCTGCTGGTCCCATGGAAACTTGTTCCGTCTGACAGGGACAGTCCACACCCCGTTGTTGGCGTAGGACCATAGTTCCTGGCCGGCTAGCACTGCGGGCAACCAGATGGAGCGGCCTTAGACACTGCACTTTCATTCATCAAACACTGAGTATTTGCCTTCAGCCAAGCAGTCCAGGCTGGGTTACAAGCACAGATAAGAGGCTGTCCCTGCCTTTGAAGGCTTTAGCGAGGGAGAAGGACAAGCGATCCAAAGGCTGACATGCAGCAGGCTGAGGCTATTTAGGGTGCCATGGGAGCACAGAGGAGGGGAAGCCACCTCATTCTAGGTGGTGGCCTGCCTCTGCCTTCCGAGAGGAGGTGATGCTGGGGCTGAAGCTCAGAGGTTGAGGAGAGGAAGTGTGCCTAGGTGGGGGGAATGGCCCATAGCTCAGGAAGGATGGAGTAAAGGTTGTATGGAAGGGTGCAGCCAAAATGGAGGCAATGGAGGTGGGCGAGAGCCAGGCTCTGAGGGGTTTGTGGGACATAGAAGGGTTGGAAGTGATGCTGCAGGCAGTGGGGAACCACGGAAGGATTTCAGCAGGGAGAGCAGCTTGAACATATTTACATTTGCTACCATCACTTCGGGAGGCACTGTGGACAATGGATTGGAGAGAAGCTCCAGGAGCATTTCTTCCATCTCAGTCAAATTCAGCTCACTCCCTGCCCCTGCAGTTGCCCTTTGATTCTCCGCAAGGATCCTACTAACACCTAGTGCGTAGGTGGTTCCAGTTCATCTGTAGTCAGCTGACCGGGACTTGCTGTGGCCTGAGGGCTGGAGAATCTTATAGTTCTGCTCTCCCAACCTCCAAGACTTGAGGGTTACCACAGGCCCTGTGCTGGGCCGTGGCAGAGACACACAGATGGCAATAACTTCACTTTGTCTTCACTTTCTAAATGAAAACAGCATGGTGGGTGTGATTTTTTTTCCGCAGATCACATCCATCAAATGGTAAATGCTTACAATGGCACTCTTCGTGATGGCCAATTTTTATTCAAACACTTTTGGGATTTGCTCTGTGGTTTCAATTGTCATCTTAACTGCTCCTTCTCAGGGGTTCAGGCTAACACGGGTACTGGAGACTTCACTCCGCCTTATTCCATCCGGTCGGATTATATTTATGGCTCACATGTTTTAAAATTCATCAGGCGTCTCTCGTGTTACTTGGCTGACCTGCTGCACCAGTCGTCCCTGATGTGTCGGCGATGTGTTCCGGTGGGGCACAGACAATGGGGCCTGTCCCCTCTGTGATATATTAGAGAAAGAAGGAACAAAAGAGCCATCCTTCTTCAGAAATAGCTGGGTTCTAATATGAATATTGAAGGCTCTAATTAATCGTGACTCTTCTTTTATAAAGTACTGATTGAAGCTTATTCTGCATGTGGAAGCTGGAGAGACAATACAGCCAGACTTACTCTAGAGTTTTTTTTTTAAAACATGGAAAAACTAGAGAAAGTGTTCCAGAAAGTAGGGATGAAACAAAAGGAGCTAATTCTATAAGGGAGGCACTGTTTCTTATAATTTTTTCCTTCTGCGTGTAGATGGCTTTTGTTTTGTGCATAAGCACGAATTAAATTGCCAAATTTCTATTGTTATGGAAGGTGGTGACTCATCCAGCCTGTGAGAAATGCAAGGAAATGATAGATTTAAAGATGTTAGTTGGAATCAACAATAAACAACAAGGCTTCAAGGCTATAACGGATGTATATTTCATTTATGACATATATCCCTTTCTTGGTTCCCCACAAAATCCAGCAAGGTTGGTGTTTCAACTGACATTTTTGAAATTCATTCAGTCATCAAATATTTATTGAGGGTCTACCATGTGTCACATCCTGTTGCTGAATTACAAAATTTTGTATCTAAATTATATCTATAGCTTTATCTGATGCCTGACAGCTCCTGGCTATTTATATTAACTGCTTGGTGTTTTATCAACTAACAGCAATAATAACGCTGTCAATCTCATTTGCATGGTACTTTCGCATTTATGAAGCATTTTGACATATACTTCTGTTTGTTTCTTGCATGAGCCCTGAGAGTGTGTCAGGGAAGGACATTTAGTTCATAGACTTGGGGGGACACATCAGAGAGGCAGCGTCGTGTGTATTTTTCCCTTATTCTCTTTGGAGACCTTTGCTTAGAAGAGGCAATCTGTGGCTTTCCCTTCAATTTTGACAAAGCAAGCCATCCATTAGAGACATTTACTTTCTTACTGGGAAATATACTAGAAAGGATTTTACCAAGATTTACCAAAGGATGTTGATGGTGATGGTTAAAGAACTGTTGAGGCTATCTGTTAGTCTTTTGTTTAGAAACACCTTGTTTATGGGGCTGAAATGAGGTGCCGCTGGGGTGAAAGCGGCCTCCTGGGGGAGAGGTGCCCCTCTCTTCTGTAAAGCGGGAGAAGGACCCTTATGAAAGGAGGTGGGGAAGGGGAAGCAGCATGGTGCCTACACCACAGGCTTGCTCTCAGGAAAATCCCTTTTAGGTAAGAGCCTATACAGAGGTCGTCCATCTGGAATGTGATTCCCATGAAAGGGCTGCATGCCCCTAGGAAAGGATACAGCCCAGGGATTCAGGGAGCCCAGCTGAGGATCACTGTGCTAATCCACCGTCTCAGGGATGAGGAAATAGACTTTCCAGGCTGGTTGGGGGATGGGGGAGCCATGGAGCAGCAGGTTTGGGTTCATTGTTTGCGAAACAACATTCCTGAGCCAAGGGGCAGGTGCCACTCACAAAATGAGGTGGAGTAGCCTGCTCCTGTAACACGATATCATTAATTTAGGAAATACAGGCACCCCAGTCTATGCCTTTTGTTTCCAAGCAATGTCTTTGTAAACTATATTTACAGAAAGTTTTATCCCCCTCTGGTGGCATAAATCATTATTACAGACTACTTTCCTTCTACCCATTGATCCTAGATTTTTAGCACTCAAAAGACCTTAGAGATCACAAATCTAAGCCACTGGTGGTGTCGTTCATCTGCGCATAAAGTTAGCACAAATAGGACGAAAGCTTTTGCTTCCACACATACGGTGTCATCTAGAATAGCTCCTTAGATGGGCTTGGCCTTTGTCGTTTGGATAGGGCCATGTATGGGTGTGGAACACAGCCTGGCCAGGGGGGCTTGAATGTGCATGTGGCTTTCCTTCTGAGGAGACCCTTGGGACAACTATTTATATGCAGTTTATTTTCCTATACTCTGCAGGCTCGAATTACGCAAACTTAATACCCAGCCCTGGCACTTTCAGTGTCCTCAAAAATGTCATAAAAAGTGGTGCCCGGCCTTTATTGCCCTTGTTTCTATATACCTTTCTTGTCTAGCACAGGCCTCGAGGCTGAGGCCTGGACTCTGGGGTCTTGGTTGTGGGTTTGGCGTTGGTACTGCGTATCCCTGGGTAGGACTCCTGCATGTGCCAGTGTGAGAGGTGGACTTTTTTGAGACTCCTTTCTCCTTCAGCTTTGGGTTCCCATTACTTCTCTTGGCCACTCCCTTCTAGAATTTCTTCATTCCCTTGACTTCTGTTACATTAAACTTTCCAGATTCTTCTGTTTCTTTGAAGTCACCTTTTATTTCTTCCTTACTTCTTTTCCTCCTTTTAGGCCCAAATTGGCAAATGTTCTCCAACATTTTATCCATAGAATATGTTTTCATCTTGAAAAATCTCACCTCCCCTACATGTCACCTTCTGTACAGATGCTCTCAAAGTCAATCTCCAGCCTGAAGTTCCCCCAGGCTGTGGTCCGCCATATCCAGCTACACCGAGCTACTTTCCTTTGGCGCTTTTTCTGCCATCTCAAACCAAGCATGAATGAAGCGAAACCTGTCTTTTTTTTCTCCTCAAGTCTTCATTCCTTCATGACTCACCTCTTTCCCTCCATGTCACTTCCACTGTTCACGATGCCCTGCCTGTAACTTCAAGTCATCACTGGCTTCTTTCTCTCCTTTGCCTCTCACATCTGTTCGGCTTCCAGGTCCTTCTGCCTGGTCTCCAGAACTGTTTATTCCACCCCATTTTCTTTGCTAAGATTTTGGGCTCAGGATTTCATCATTTCATGTACATGGTATTGTTGGGCCTTCTAACTAGTCCCTTTGGCTCCTGTCTGCTTGGATTTTAGAAACCTGCCTCTTGAGAGGGGTTTAGTGGTTTTCTGCTCTAGAAGCTGGCGCTTAGAGTCATCCACAGACGGGCCAGCCTTCTCTCCCCTACAGTCTGACCCTTGTAGTGCAGCAAATGTGATCAAGCGTTCTCTGGTCCCTGACATGATCTAGAACACACTCTGTGTAGCCACCTCTTTTTATTTCCAAGATCTGCCTGTCCTCCAAGTCCTGGCACGAGGACTCTATACAGAATGTCTCGCCCGTGCTGCCCTCTCTGGAATTGGTTATGCTGCTATGACGGCAGGTCAGGCATTGTCTGGTGATGTCTCTTGTACCATGGTGTAGTTACTTAATCTTCGTAGTCTTCTTTAATCTTTCACAAGTATCCGTCTTTTCTGCAAACTCTAGATATAAACAGCACCTCACGTACAATAGATGTTTCAGAGAAGCTCATTGAGTTAGATTGGTGGAATTGCAAGCACAATCTTGAGTCAGAAGTTGGCGCTCCCTTGCCAGCCCTCACAATCTCTTTTTACAGCCCTCAGATTGCAGCTTGACTGTCTCACCTGTGTGTGTCTGTGTTGGTTTTAGTTGCAGATCCCTAGCGTCAAGGGCTTCGATTTTGCTAAGCAGCATCTGGGTCAGCACAATAAAGATGACATCTTGATTATTCATGAGCCAGCACCACTGCCAGGCCCTGTGAAGGACCACACCACGCCCTCTGAAAACGGAGATGTGCCGAGCCCCAAGGCGAAGATCCCGGCCAAGAACGTCCGTCACAGAGGAAGGTTCTTATTGGGCTTTCTGTATTGTTCTCGATCGCAGAGCATGTTTCTGTTTTCAGTTTGTCAATTTCCAGTATCAGAAAGGCTGACGGTGAGTATTGCCCGAGTCTGCAGCCCAGGAGACTGACGACGGCTTGCCCAGTGTTAACGAACCTGAGGGCTCTTTATCCACTCTAATGGACTACCAAAGGAGGCTGATGCTTTCCTTCCCCAAAGTGTTCAGAATTAGGAATCACTGTCTATCATGGTTTGGTGGTCCCCCTGGGACTTGATGAGGGCTTGACCAGCTCGTGTGTGTCTATTCTGGGGTGAGCAGGCTAGGCCCTCTGCGGAGGATATCAGAAATAGTGTATGAAAAACGCATGGCACTTGATACCTCCTCAGCCAGCATTGGCTTTGCCCTTGCCTGTTATGCCAGTGGCTGGCTATGACGTCATTGCTCCCTCTGCAGGTGACCTTCATCACATCCTTCTTTGCTTGGTTTTTCTCCAGCTGCCAGTGTTGCACCCTTGTTAGCATGTTTGCATGGACTCTTCACGCCTCCTCCCTGCCCAGCTCCCCATATCCAGTTTATTTCCATTCCTCCCATCAAAGTTGAGCACACGGAGAACTGCTCGTTAACACACTGCCTGGAAGTCCCCGTCACCCTCTGATCCTGAGACAGGCTGTGGCCGTGTTAAAGAAGACCAAATTCAGAGTCAGGTTTCGTGAAGCTGACTTTAGATCATAGCATGATCACGCTTTTGCTATGGAAGCCTCAAATCATCAGCCTTCCTTTGAGCTTTGGAACTCCAAATCCTGATTTTCTGCTAAGAGGAAAAAAGTGTGATTATACCAACATTCGAAATGAGGTCATAATTTCTGACTTATCAGAAAACCTACCCCGGGGGTTCTGGCCTACTTTTAAGAATTTAATACATGTTAGAATGTGATCTTTACTAAAGAAAATGAATTATGTAGAGAGATGTTATTTGCTTAATTATCTTGCAGGCTAAGAATAAATCAAATCATTAAAGATTATTGAATATCCTGGTACAATTTTGCAAAGTATTTTTTTCTCCCATGGTCGTCTCATCCTAAACATTTAGTCACAACATCTCAATGGTCTGCACCGCTAATATAATATTTTAGCATCCCTCAGGGGCACCAGAATGTCTCAGCATCTCACATTGCAGTTTAAGCCAGGGAGTGCAAAGAAGAGGGGAGCTAAGTGGCTAGAGATTTTCACTAGCCTGGTGCCCCCAGGGGTCTGTGATACCCTTGCTTTTTGTATATAGAGTCAAATCTCAGTGGTGATCATTGCCTTTGTGTTGTAAGTGTAGGCTTCTTGCAAAGATCTGGAGTTATATGGGGTGACTGCAGAACTACTCTGGCTTCCTAGTGATGCAGACCCAGTTAACCCAGAACCCCAGATCCTCTGATCCCACCCATGGCAGACCCACACTGCTGGTCCAGCCCTGGTAGCTGAGGCACCATCCTCCAGCCTGGCACTTACTTTCCTAGCATTTGTTGAAATGCAGCCTGCTGACCCAGTTTGTAAGTCATGTTATGCTGTCTTTAAGAGGTAACTAGGTGCTATATATTAATATTAGGTCCTTGAAGATGCCATGCCACAAAATAATTTTTTGGATTGTTTGATTTCTACCAGTTTTGCCTGGAGGCCTGACTTCCACATCCAAATTAATGTGACCTTTCCCCCCATCCTTTCTTTCTTTTTCCTAACGTTTGCATTTGTTTTGTGTCTGCAGAGTTTCTCCCTCAGATGCCGACTCTACAGTGAGCGAAGAGTCCAGCGATAGGGACGCAGGAGACAAGACGCCAGGAGTGGTGAACGACGGCAAGTCCCACAGAGCCCCACAGAGTGGTCTGTGACTCTTCTCGTTTTCCATGTTAAAACCTTAATTACAAGGTTCCAGTAGGCTAGGGTTTTATACTACAAATGCTGAACCTTTTTTCGTTCTTTTTTTTTTTTTTTTTGGTGAGGAAGATTGGCCCTGAGCTAATATCTGTTGCCAATCTTCCTCTTTTGGCTTGAGGAAAATTGTTGCTGAGCTAACATACTTTTGTATGTGGGATGCCACCACAGCATGGCTTAATGAGCAATGTGTAGGTCTGCACTCAGAATCTGAACCTGCAAACCCCAGGCCACCATAGTGGAGCAGGCAAACTTAACCACTACACCACCAGGCCAGCCCCAAATGCTGAACCTTTTAAAAAAAATCTGTGCAGTGGAATATTCTTCATTCATATGGTGAATTTCTCAGCATTGGTTGTCACCATCTGACATTGTATTGGTGCCTGCACTGAGGCAGAGGACCTGCTAGAGGTTAGGGATTCACCAAGGTATGTTTTGAGGTTAATAGTCACATTTCATTCTAGTTCAGAGTCTTAAGGATTTTCCTCCCTGAAGGACAAGGAAGAATGGCACTAAAACCAGAGTCCCAAAAACTGCTCCCAGGATTCAGTGACCTTCTTAGGATCCAATGCAAGTGTTGCACAGCTGTCACTGTCAGAAAGCTGTTTGTTTATCATAGGTCCGAGCGTACTATATTTGGTTCTGTTCCTAGCTCCTCCTTCCATTGGGAGTTCTATGTGATCTGATGGTTTAGCAGATTTGCATTTGGAGTCAGAGGCAGCGCTTCTTAGGGCAGGTCCGAGATGCACTTCACTCCCATCCGAAGGGTCTAACCATGAGGCTCATGTCCTGTAATGAAACAAAGCCCACGGGTCTTACGGACTTGGGAGCATTTTTTGGCATGATGACAAAGTAGTTAGGTTTTAGCTTAATAGATTCTGTTACATAAATGTGCTACTACGGCTGTTGTATTCGCTGGAGTTTTATTCAGGTTTCAGGATTGTGTTTTAGTAATGCAAAGGAAACTGGAATGCCTCAGGATGTTATCTTTAATAGTAATTTTTGTACTCACATTTTTGGTCACAGATTTCTCTGTATGAAAGTGCAGTACAGAGTGAACTGTATTCTATAAATGAACAGATTCTGGATGAAGCCAGAGGCCTCTTCTGTTGCTGTCACGCTGGTGACCTCGCAGGTCCCTTAGCCTTTGGGGTTCCTGTGAGACTAAACGAGCTGATATTTGAGATTCCTTCCAGTTGTTTCATTTTTGATGTTAAAGAAATACCCCTAAGAAGAAGGGAAGAGTTTTTTCTTTGGATCCAATTTCACAGAATCTTAAAAATTACTTAACACCACGGTAACAGGGGCACTGTTTCAGATAGATAGGAATAAAGTCTAATTTTGATCCTGGGAAAGAAATATTTGGAGAAAAAAAAGTCAGCTCTGGAGTTTCTCAATTTCTCTTCATTGCTTATCTGAGAAAACCTTGCTTTTAGTTCCTGCTTTTAATTCCTTACTGAAAGTATTGCAACCAGAATATTCTATATTCTATATAAAAAATGAAATATCACTTTCAATATGTATTCAAAGTTACAGTAGTAAGCATGTCAGCTTTGGGACTGGGAGTTGTCCATGGAAGGAGACAAGTGGACTAGATGTCCCGGTGAGTGAGTACTAGGAGCTCAGTGACTGCTATTATGAAGAGACACCAGAATCTGTACATTATCTTCGTGTTTTAGAGAGATGATCTTCTCCCTACAATTATCAATTCACTTATAAAATTTTGTTTACTTGTTTAAAACTTGGATGCTGCCATAAAGGCATTTTATTACTAGCATAGAATTAATTTAGTAAAATACCCTCTAAAAACGATTCTGAGTTCTTAATCATAGCTTTTGAATTATTTTGTAATTCATGTAGAAATCCTTCTCTTGTTGCAAGTCATGATGAAATGCAAATTAATGGAGCAGGAGGGTGCTTGAGAACCACTCTGGGACCCTCCTCCATCTCGCCCTGGGCCCAGGGTCCCTCTCACCACAGTGGGTGGCACGCCTGCTGGGTCTCTAGAGATTCCTTGGCAAGGCTTTGGATGGCTGTTACAGGTCGTGTGGCATTTTCAGGACCCACCTTGCAAGGGAAGCTGAGAAAAGACCATTGTTTTGGTCAATTTGAGGCTGTGTCTTATTTCCTTTCCAGCTGACTATTTTTGAAGGTGGCTAGACCATGATGCATGACCTTTGCAACAATCCAAGGACCCTTATGAGATTATTTGCTCAAATGTCACTGTCTTCTCAGTTATTGCAGTTTTAGAATAAGTCTCGTCATAAGCACTGGTTCCCCTTAGCAAAGTTATGAAGAGAGAGATGAGGTAGGGAATAACACACCTCCCTTAAGTCAAGGTGGCTACGTTCAGTTGCTTGTTGTGCTGCCATTGCTGTGTCCAGGCATAAGTGTGGTTTTTTCTCTCTTGTTCTTTTTTTCAATTGTTTAAACTTTTTATTTTCCATTGAGGTAAGATTGGTTTATAACATTATATAGATTTCAGGTGTACATCATTATATTTCGATTTCCGTGTAGACTATATCATGTTCACCACCCAAAGACTAATTACTATCCATCACTGCACACACGTGCCCGGTCACCCCTTATGCCGTCCTCCCTTCCCCCTCTCTTCTTTACCATCAGGAATAAACCACGTAGATAAGGACTGCAAAATGCTGAGTATTTTCTTTATGTTCTCCATAGGTCGCATGTGTGTGATTTTTAAGTAATTAGAGCTTCGTTAATTTGAATTCCACAAATCCAAATTCTAGAATTTTACCCAGTCATTTACTTTTGCATGTGCTAAGGAGTTTGCAAAACAAATAACATTTTTAACGAGATTGCAGGGTAACTATTTTGACTACAAATAACATCAGAGTTTTTCAGGTAATGGTAGAGTACCCATTTATAAAGTGATTGTGATCATAAATCATAATTCTCCTCTTTTCATTAAGGCAGATTCCCCAAGGTCTCTTTAGGTGGAATTTTATACAGGTGGTTGAGGTGACTAGTCATTTAGTCATCCATTCAGCAAGTGTCTACTAAGTGCCTGTGGTGGCTTCGGTGCTGGGATAGGATGAAGAAGAGGCAGATGTGATCCCTGCCTCACAGGGTGTTAATGTGGGTCACGGGCATCGGTATTAATGCAGTTTGACTGCACTTACCGATAGATAATGGAATTAATAGTTCTTTTAAAATCTTCTATTGCTTCGGCATTTTAGTAATTCGGATTGCTCTTTCCTCTGTCATTCTTCGTTGACATTATCCTATACTGTAGTTTCTATCATTACATTTTTTTGTTTGTTTTATAATATTTGAAGAGGAGGCACTCTTCAAAAGTACTCTTCCAAAGGCCCTACTTGCCTTAAGGCAGGATTCACACAGCATTAATCTCTATGTATCCATTGTACTTTCCAGTGACTGTTATTATGCAAGTAGTTTTTTAAAAAAATTGTGCAATGCATAGCAAACAATAAAAATAACCAGTTTATATATATAAACTGAGATATATGTATATATGTGCACAGATAGATAAAACAAATAACAAACCTTTTTTCAGCCTTTTAAAAGGGCTGGACTCCAAGGCCGTATGGAAGCTTGAGGGTTTTCTCTGCATCCTTTGTTTCTCTGGTTGCAGTTGGTGAACTGTGGCGCAAGGAGCCATGACCACAGTTGGGGGGTGGGATAGGGCAGTGACAGGAGCCAGTCGCAGGCCTGCAGCTCCGTGGTACCCAGGCAAGCAGACAGCACAGAGGGAGGGGACTTTCTTCCTCTGCCACCTTTGTGCCCTGATCTTTTTACCATCTTTTTACCAGATTGGGGGAAAGCAACCTCACCTTTACATATCAGTAGCTTAATGTGGGCTACCCTTTGTGACATCTGCTGTCACTTTATGAGTGTGGGTTAGCAAGGCTAGCCTATCTGGCACAGCTAATTATCTCCGTTTAGGCATTTTGCCTGTAATTTGAGTAGCTGCCACTGGATGTATGGTGGAGCCTGGCTGTGCTTACGTTGCACAAACAGGCTCCCTCCGGGCCCAGGGTAGGGAAAGCAAGCCCAAGAATAGCCGGAATCCAGAAACCTATGCCTCCTTGCTAAGAGAGACGGCGTTCATTCACAGAATTACATACATCATTTCTAGTCGCTTGGGATAACAAGTGGAGATAATTCAAATTGAGAGGAAATACAAAGACTGACATACCACTGATGTGCATTCCTTATGTAAAACCTCAACTACTTTTCTTCCTGCTTTGCTCAACTTTTTCTTTTTCTACACGGAGGAGAAACCTCTATATTTTTCACTTATGCTTGAAGTTTCAAACCTCATGCCTTTGTTTACAAAAAGTTTCTGCATGCCCTCATTCCTTCTCTTGGGCTGTTGGCCATTTATTTTAAAGTGGTGTTCAGAGCGTCCGGAGGTGCCTGGCTTATCAGAGGGAGGGCCTTAGTGACCTCAGTGCGTCTCACCAGCTCTGTAGAGCTCTTCCCACCTACTCAGCCCCTCCTCGCATCTTTCCGTCTTTTTATGCCTTTTTAAAATTAAAGCTTATTGGGATTATTTCTACTATAAAAGTTATACTCAGAGAAAATCCTCATTACAGAAAATACAGGAAATTGGAGAAAATCACCCATTATACCAAGATCCAGTCTCTGTTAACATTTTAAAGTGTTTCTTTTCTATCTTCTTTCTACACATTTAATTTTTTTTCTCTTTTTGCAGTTCTGATTACTTTAAAAAACTTTGTCTTGGTAAAATATACATGCCGTAAAATTTACCCATTTAACCATTTTTAAGTGTCCTCTTCATCTCTTTTTAAAGTAGGACCAAGTCCCCTGTAGGCAGCAAGTTTTTCTTCTTATGCCTCTTCAACTTAATTTTCTTTCTACGTCAGAACTGAAGCGTTCATTGTTAACCAGTACATGCCTGTCTGCAGTCCCCTCGACTTTTGTTTCTCAACAGTATAATCACCTTGGCAACTAAATTTTTATTGCTCCAAATGAGAGTAGAACTTCAGAGATGCATTACATGTTTTTTCTAAAAGTTCTGTAAATTGCTATTGACTGAGCAACTTCAGGCTCCTCCTGTCTGGAAGACTCTTTCTTACTGAAGACTCTGAAACACCTTTAGACAAAACAGGGCAATTTTTGGCACAAAGTGTCATCAGGATTTTCATTTCTTTTCTAAGGATATTTGTAATTTGTAATGAGGCTGCAGAAGACACTATTTAACCCAGACAGCTTAAGCTCAAATAGTGACATTTCAAGTCTTCTGCCATGGAGTGGGGATGTGTTTTTGAGCGGGGGCCCATCTGAGGATTCTTTAAGGATTAATCCATAATTTTGATTATTTGCGATTCTTTAGGATGACTTTATTTATTTTGGCTTTCCCCTCTGTTCCAGGGCCACCGCCCCCCAGTTCAGGGAATGAGCAGCACTCGTCAGCCTCCATCTTTGAGCACGTGGACAGGATCTCCCGCTCCTCAGAGGCCAGTCGGCGGGTCCCCAGTAAGATCCAGCTGATTGCCATGCAGCCGATCCCAGCTCCCCCAGTTCAGCACCCCATACTGGCTGACCGAGTGGCAGAAACCAACAAAATTAACAAAGAGGTATTTGTTTTTATTAAAAAGTATGTTAATAAAAAGGCTCACATTCTGATTTGGTCAGTGCTGAAAAATGAGTGAAAGTGACAGTGTCAAAAGGTTGCTAAAGGTATGAGCTGCTGACAAGTATTCTGAATTTTAAATATTATAATCAGGTTTTTTAGATCTGATACTGTTCAAGGACACTGTTAGATGCATTGGCAGATATGCAGAACAAAGACCTGAGGCTGCTATCCTTAGAAAGTCCCATTTCGGCCCATGGCTAGTATTTGGGAACTTGGGTTTCGGAAAGATTCCCGCCATTCCCAGAACAGAGTCGCTCACTGCGCCTAAACTATTAATACGAACAATATGATTTACGGTGAACATCTGCTTTCCTTCTGGGAGCCTGGAATTTTATGACATGCTAGGCAGCGGGTGCCTACGTGAGCAGCCCGTTAGAGACTCCCTGGGCACTGAGTCTCTCATAAGCTTCCCTGCTGGACAACATTTCACCCGTGTTGTCACGACTCGTTGCTGGAGGAACTAAGCACGTCCTATGGGACTCCACTGGGAGAGCGCTCCGGGAAGCTCCACCTGGGTGCCTCCAGAATTCGCCCCACGTGCTTTTCCCTTTGCTGATTCGCTCTATATCTTTTTGCTGTAATGACTGGGACTAAATGCCGGGTCCTGTGACTTCTCCTAGTGACTCATCCAGCCTGGGGTGGTCTTGGGATAAGAGGAGACTTTGTGATTCCTGATAGATCCGCTCTGGCCCCAAGGATCTAGATAATTCATAGTAAAACCCTATTCCAGTGAATCCCAGAAGAGTGAGTTAGATCTGCTTCCCTCCTAAGATTTTGGGAACCAGAATGCCAGGCTAGGTCACTGTTAACTGGAGCTTGAGAGATTTGACCTGGGCTGGACTGTCAATGGAGTGAATGCCATTTAGGACTGCACATAAGACAGCTCCATGCCTGTCAGTTTCCTGCCTCTAAGAAACCGCTGCTGCTGTTGTGAGTTCTGCCAGGTTGTAATAAGAAATTGGTACAGTTGAACCCTCCTCCCCACTTTAAAGGTGATCCTTACAGTGGATCATCCTATAGAAGTCTTACCAAGAGTTCTTATATTTCTCCTGTCCACATCTCCTTAGCTCTTTGCCAAGCACTTGACCACAGACTGTGTGCCATGGGTTCAGGATGACATGTGCTGTCCGTTCTCACCAACGCTCAGGAGCCCCAGCCCTGCATGGCCCCAGTCCTGGCCTAGACCTGTTTCCATCAGTCTCCTGTTGCGTGTGCCTCTACAGCTGCCAGGGTAGACAGCCTGGAGTGACTTCTCCATCTGGCGAAAGAAAGAAGAGAATGTGTTCACCAGGCCTGTGGCTTCATAACTTGATAGGATACATCTCCGTTTTTTTCTTTTACTATCTTTTTAAAATGTAGTATTTGATGCACACATAGGACTATAGGTAACAGATATATTGATTATAAAGCATAACAACAAAATGAAAACCCAACTTAAGAACTAGAGCATTGTCAATACTGTTACACCTACCTAAATACTTCATACATCTAAATTTAAATGTTTTATTTATTTTTGAGGAATATTAGCCCTGAGCTAACTGCTGCCAATCCTCCTCTTTTTGTTGAGGAAGATTAGCCCTGAGCTAACATCCATGCCCATCTTCCTCTACTTTATATGTGGGACGCCTATCACAGCATGGCCTGTCAAGCGGTGCCGTGTCCGCACCCGGGATCCGAACCAGCAAACCGCAGGCCGCCTAAGTGGAACGTGCACACTTAACCAGTGTGCCACCGGGCTGGCCCTAAATGTTTTCTTAGTAGGAGATTCTGCTGCAAATTCCTAGCATATCTTGGGCCTCCTGTGAGGACTCATATATTTTAAAGAACAATTAGAGCCCGACAGAGTAAGAGCGGCTTTTCTTAATTCTCCTGATGGTAAGTTGCCGAGAACCTCATGCAACCGACCCTCCTCCTTCAGGCAGTCTCAGGGTATGTGGCTTTTGGTCTACTGCAGTCTTCCTACATGGGCAGGAACGTTCCATCCTATCTTGGCCTATGAGTCCTGCTCTCTCTTCCCCATCAGATTCCCAGCGTGGTTTCCCTTCTGCCCCGCTGTCTCCATCTCACTTGATATCAAGGCCTCTGAAGCAGAGCTAGGTGCTTACAAAACAGGACACACCTTGACACAAGTGAGCTCTTCCCAGCCTGCGCTGCCCCCCAGCACAGCAGAACTGCCACGCCATCAACCCCCCAGGCAGTCATCTGCATTCCCACTGCTGGCTCTTGGCAGGCCTGGCTCTTGGCAGGCCTGGCGTGGTTGTGCCACATCTCACACCTTCCTTCCCCTCCCCTCTTGTCTTCAGATCCTACTTACTTTTCAAGACCTACTTCAGGCCTCGTAACCAGCGGTGACATGTTTCCACACCTGTGGATGCCCCTCTGTGGAGGGCAAGTCTCCTGTCAGGGAACTTGGTTGGTAATACTAGATAATTATCAGCAAACGGGTATTGTATAACATGCAAATATCTTTGAATCTATCTTAACTTAGAAATCTCTGAAGTAGTAAATTATTGAGTATGGAGAACGTTTACTCTTTTCTCAGGGCGTATTATATCCAGTTGTCAGTGCCCCTTTGTGTCTTCAGAGTTGTCACTAGCTGATTTTGCAGGTTGGAGTTATTTTTGCCCTGCTCTGGGGGCCGATACCGGGGCTTCCCCGTATCCACACCACAGAGAGTTCGGGGGTCCGGCCCGAGGGCATGGCAGGTGCTCTGTGCCCCGTGTGGGTGTGCCTGTCCCATCACACCCTTTGGGGCCTCCTGGGGCCTAGGACAGACGTCCAGGGGGCAAGGGACGTGGCAGGAAGGTGTTCCCCAAATGCTTTCAGAGCCTGGGTCCCAGGATCCTTCGAGCACGTTCCTTCGGTCTCGTCCCCTCAGATTCAGACGGCGCTGCGACACAAGTCGGAGATCGAGCACCATCGGAACAAGATCCGGCTCCGCGCCAAGCGCCGCGGCCACTACGAGTTCCCGGTGCTGGACGAGCTGTCCTCGGGCGACACGCGCGAGCGGCACCGTGTGTACCGCCGGGCGCAGATGCAGATCGACAAGATCCTGGACCCCACGGCCAGCGTGCCCTCCGTGTTCATAGAGCCCCGGAAGAGGTGGGCCCGGGCGAGCTGTCGGGTGGGGCGGGACAGGAGGGCTCGGTCGGTTTTAAGGGTAAAGGCTCTGAAAACGACTCCAAGAGGTTAATACACAGAAAGGCTGTCGGCCACCCTGATGGCTTTGTTTGTCACCTGTGTGGAGAAGGCGGCCCCTCGAGTGCCTGAGAGCATTTCCTGGGTTTGCTGTCTCCTGGAATGGGCATTCTAAAGTGGTGTCGCCTGTCCTCCTCCCACTGTGCCTCCGGCGCTTCCTGGGCCCTCCCTCTCCTCCATCCCGCTCTCACCCCCAGGATCTTCACCTCCTCTGCTTGGTCACCTACCTGGGTGTGGGTGGACAGCTCATTTCCTTTCCCTCAGCCACACTCAGTCTTGGTCTCTTGGTCTCCCAGAGCCCTGCCTTTAACCGGATACGTTTTCTGTAAACACTGGTCTCATTTGTGCCTTTCTCTGCTCAAACCCTGTTATGGCTTCTGTTCCCTGCCATATGGAACCTGTGCTCCTGTAACAGGCTGGCCTGCCTCTCCATTCGAGCTGCTTTCCACCCTACAGCAGCATAGACAGACCTGCCACTCCCTTAGCCCTGGCCTCATTGCCCCCGGGATTCATCTGCATTCCTGTTTCTGGCCCTCGGCAGCACGGTGGTGTCCACACCTCACTCTCTCCTTCCACATCCCTCTGGTGTGCAGATCCTCTGCTCTTTAAGACCTAGCTCAGGCCCTGTGCAGCCAGCGATGATGTCACCGGCTCACATGGACCTCCCCCTTTCCTGAATGTCTGTATTATTAAATACTGTCACGACTATACGTTGCCTCGTACTGTTCTCCGTTGTTCCGTGTGTGTTGATATAGTCTGCCAGGGCAGATAGGTTGTGAGCTTTCTTAGAGCAGAGACTGTGTTTTACACATTGTTTATATTCTGTGGGGTGTTTACTCCAGTGGCCAGCACATCACAGGTGCTCAGGAAATGCTTAGTGTTCAGTTGATAAGCCAGCGGCAGGCAAGTTTGTTTCCTGTGAAGCTAACCTCTCGTTTTCCTGGCAGTTCGCGGATAAAGCGTTCTCCCAAGCCACGCCGGAAACACCAGGTCAACGGCTGCCCTGGAGATGCCGAGAAGGACAGGCTGATCACCACAGACAGTGACGGCACTTACAAAAGGCCCCCTGGCGTCCACAACTCTGCCTACATTGGCTGCCCAGTGCGTAATGCTGACCCTGGCTTCTGGAATCCGGGTTGGGGTGGCTCTCTGGGAGAGGAGAATGAATAGTGGTGGCTGCTGCCTTGTGTGGTGTTGATGCCCGGTGGCTGAAGCTGCGAGGCCGGCTGGGTGGTGAGGCATGTGGGGTGAGAGGGGGAGAGGGCTGGTCCTTTGAGGGGAAACTTGAGTCATTTAAAGCAGGGGGCTGCTGGACGAGCTCTCTGGAAACCTCCTCTGTGCTTTTCCTTTCTATATGCAAGCCTTCTCCTCTCAGGCTTCAGAGTAGGCGCTTCTTGAGGTTAACTGGAAGACTGAGAGAAATGTCCAGAGGTTTTTTTTTCCTTTCCCTGGTCAGAGGGTTGTTTGGGTTATTTGCTGATGGGAGGGATATTTAGGGTTTTGTCCCTCCCTTCTGCTCCTGGACTGCGAAGAAGGTATTCTATTTGCTTATATATATATATATATTTTATTTTAATGGAAGAAAGAGCTTAATGGAATTTAAGAAATATGGAATTAAACATTTTTTTCAAACAGAAAGGATACAGAGTTGCTTGAAGTGTTGAAGGCAGACATTGATAGCATTAAGACACACACGCGCAGACCCCACTGAGAAGGGAAGAAAGCCTCCCCGAGGGACTGTGAGAAATACAGACACAAAGACACCCCCAGGTGGAGAGGGGGCGCTAGATGTGGCTGACTCAGGCAGCACCGGGATGCGCAGCGGGTGCCTGCAGCCCTGTGTCAGGGTGCAGCCCTGTCTTGTTGCACGAGTCCCCTGCCTCTTCCTGGAGGCAGACTTATACAGCTGTCCTTGTTTAGAGGGAAATTAGCAAAACACACATCTCTGGAGAAGGGGTTGGTGATGTAATGATCACTTTAGGTAGAGCCTATTCAACCAGCCATTTCTTATTTGAGTTTTATATTTTATCTCCTAAATTACACAAATAGCTAACACTGACAGACACTAAACGTAATTAGCCAAACGTGCCACTGTCTCGACATTGGGGCTGAGTATAATTGAATCATGAACATCTGAGACAACCAGGCCTTTCCTTGGGAACTTACTGTATTTCTAGTGCCCTAAAGACTGACCATGCCCCTCATGACCCTCTCATGAGGATTGGAATGATTCCAGAGAGTTAGAAGGCCTACAAATTAGACTCCTTTGCTCCTCAGTAGACTGAATCCAGTCGTTTCCGAATGCTGGGAATGAATTCCTGAGTTAGAGGACCCATCGCCGGCAGTTCTTGTGCTGCTGCTGTTTTTGGACAGGCACTTGTCTGGGCGTCTGTGGGGTTTGGCTTCATCTGGGGAGGGCTCTCCCTTTGGCTCCCCAGGAGAGTCATGCAGGGATGTCCAGACCGTGCTGTGTGAAGCCAGCGACTAGAAGAAGGGGAGCGTTGCTCCGTCCCCCTTCGTTTCCCTGGCCAGCAGGGCTCCATCTCTCATGGGAATCTGCAGGAGAGCCTTTACAGTCCCTGTCCCTTCCTTTTTTCTAGTCGCCCTGAGTTCCATCATCCAATGCCATTAAGTTTTGTGTAGGGAATAGCCTGTCTTTCCCTTGCTGTCTCCATTCACCTCTATTTATGGCCCTAAATCAGGCCTCTTTCATGGTGGCCCAGACCATCCTTGTCCTCCTTGCTTTTTCTTGGCAGAAAGCACAGAGTTTCCTCCCTGAGCTGGTGGAAGGAAGTGCTTCCCTGGAGAACACCACCTCAGTTAGCTACTTCGTCTCCAGTGGCCCCATTTTTCAAAGATTCCCTAAAATGAAAGTCTTCCTCGGATGGACTGACTTTTTACTTTCTCTCCCTAAAAGTTCTGAAACACATGCTTTCAAAGATAATGCCTTTCTCAGAACTTAACCGTTTCTTAGGTCACATTTCATCTTCCAGATTATATTAGATATATGTGTTTTTGAATTATCTTGAGTTTTACACTTTTCCCCTCAAAATATCTTCTCCTCCAGAACTTTATTCTCCTAAGGTGGAAGAAATTCTTCTGGATTCCTTGTAACTAAAGTCATCATTATAATTATAGGTCTAGGCAAACTGTGGCCCTCAGGCCAATCCAGCCAGCTGCCTGTTTTGTAAATAGTGTTTTCTTGGAACACAGCCACGCCCATTCATTTGCATGTTATCTGTAGCTGCTCTTGCTAAGAACCAGGCAGTTTGAGTAGGGACATGCTGGTTTAAGGATGAGATTATGTTCTGAGAAATGCATCCTTAGATGATTTCGTCATTGTGCGAACATCATAGAGTGTACTTACACAAACCTAGATGGTATAGCCTAGCGTATGCCTGGACGATGTGGTACTAATCTTATGGGAATACCGTTGTACGTGCAGTGAGTTGTTGACGGAAACGTCGTTGTGCGGCACATGACTATAGTTGCAACAGGACTGTTTGACTCACAAAGCCTGAGATATTTACTGTCTGGCCCTTTATAGAAAAAGTTTGTCAACCCCTGATATAATTTATCTTCCAAGCCAACACTTGTGAGAGTGAGGGGAGGCACTATTAATTATTGTACTGGGACACCAGGCATAAACTGAGATTGTCCTGGGCCCACCACGATGTGTGATCACTCTTATAATACCTCCAGAGGGTTGCAAAGTAGGCACCAGAATACACCATCTCTGGTGACTGAAGGTAAAAGGGTCATATCTATTTCTGAAGAATGACAGATGAACGTGTTTCTGTGCAAAGGAAACAAACATAATATAACAGAATTGTCAAACTGAGATTTGAGGTAATGGAATTCAAATTCCAACTCAGGAATCCTGGGTAAATACTAACTTTTGTAGATCACAGTTTTTCATTTTTTGTTAAGTACCATCTGTATGTGGAACACTGTGCTAGATATTGGGATATAGAAAAATGAATAAGACATCTTCTTGGCCTGCAAGTGCCTGGTAGTCTGGCCTGCAAAATGAGGAGGCAACAAGAAGAAGAAAGACGAATCCCTCATCTTGGCTCTGTGTCTCTCTGCCTTCTTGGCAGGATTCATGGTGCCGATGGAGTCCAAGGGAACCTTCCTTCCCATCTTCAGAGCGTATCTCTCTTGCTATAAAAGTTAAACCTTCTCTAAACTTATGACCACTCGGGGTGAGATTGGCAGTGGTTCTAGCTCTCAGGGACTCTCTTCAAGTGTGTCTAAGATCCTCCTCCCCATTGGAACCTCATTTGGGGTTTGCAGTTGTTTTTATGTGGCCACACCATTTGCTTCCTTGCAATGCAGCTACCTAGTCAGCCGCTGGAACCACCAGTGGGAACATCATTCTGGCTTTAGAGAGACTCTCTTGCTTACCAGTAGGATTGTTCCAGACACACTTTCCCTTTTCTCCACTGTGAACTCTTAGCTTGGTGGCGCACTACTGACCGCAGTCTTCCCTATCGGCTCTTCAAGAAAACCAAGAATGGGGGAAGGGCCTGCGTGTGGACCTTTTATCTACTTCATAAGGAAAGGAACACAGGGTCCTTCCAATGCTACGTCATAAACCAGACACCCCCTTTGGCGCCCAAACTCCTTACTTAGAAGTCTTAGATAACAGATGTCACTTACTAGAAACTTTACTGAGATATTGCAGTTTTTGAGAAACAGACTTATGGGACCAAGTGTGTAATGTATGTGGGAGTGAGACCAGCCACTCCCTGTTGTGCTGGGAAGAGCACCTGCCCATCTCAGGAGGGAGTCGCTGCTCAGCAGCAGTTGTTTCTATAGTGGAGTGAGGGCCCCTGATGCCAGAGCTTCAGATTCTTCTAAGAGAATCCGGGAATCTGAGTTTTAGGTGTTTTTTTGGTGAGGAAGATTGGCCCTGAGCTAACATCTCTTGTCAATCTTCCTCCTTTTGCTTGAGGAAGATTGTTGCTGAGCTAACATCTGTGCCAATCTTCCTCTATTTTATGTGGGATGTCACCACAGCATGGCTTGACAAGTGGTGCTAGGTCTGTGCCTGGGATCTCAAACTGCGAACCCTGGGCCGTGTAAGCGGAGCGTATGAACTTAACCAGTACACTGCCAGGCTGGCCCCCTGAGTTTTAGTTTGAAATTTTCAGATTTTAAAAATATCTATTTTTTAAAAGACTATGCTGGCCAAGCAAAACAGGTGTGTGGACTGTTGGGGGTTTGCCAGTGTGTAGAATGGCTTTCTCTCTGGAGTTAAGCAACTGCTTCCCTTGGTGTTTGACCCTGGCATGAATAAGAACTGATCATCTGTTGGACAGACCATAATCATTGGGAAGTGTTTTCCAGACAATTGGCTAAGAGTAAGGATATGTCTGTGGAATAGAGTTTTTTCTTTGTAAGAGACTCACTGATACAAACAGATATGGGATGTCTTCCTTGACCCCTTGAGTAGGGAGATCCAACCAGGTGAGCTAAACCAGGGGCCAGTAGGGGGAACTTTCTAGAAAAAGACATCCACTCTTCCTCACAGAGGCCCGGGGTCACCAGAACCTCTTCTCTTTTCCTTGTGTCAGTTGTAGTAACCGTGAGTTGGGCTTCTGGAACCACTGAGACCAGAAAGGCCTCTTCTTCCATTGGTTCCGTTTTATGCCTTACAATTTACCTGGTATATATTATGACAACATTTTGCTCATAAGGCAGTATCAGGAAATAAGATTTTTAAAAAATCTTGTTACTTATATCCCTGCCTCTTAGACAGTGGGTATAGAATATGTTTAAACCTTTCTTGATCTTTCATGTTATCCAGAGATATGTCCATTTTAAAGATGAATAATTTCTGAATAATAATTGTTACTATTTACTGTTATAAGTAGTTGTCATAGTAGGTATTAAAATTGTTTATACATACACAGTTGTCATATGGTGGTGACTTTGAACTCTTTTGGGAGTGTGTAGGGCTGTTTTTTCCCATTGATAATAGTCAATAGCCTGCTTTAGTTTTTGGTTTCTAGATTTATGGAATATAGACTCTAAGACGTCATTTCTGGTTGCTTAGGGGCTTTCCATAAAGATTGTACTTCCAGGTACTGAAAGGTGTTTCAGATAGTTGATTGAATTTTTCCAGACAAATGATTATTGAATGTTTTCACTTTGTTCTTTTTTCCGCATTCAAACGTTTTGCCCCCATGATATGGAACGCACGTTCCTCAGCAGTCATTTATAAAATTCTTATGCTAAACCTTTTCCTCAACGTCAGTGAGAATTGTTAAATTCCATTTTGGTCCTAGAGTGTTGTTTTTGGGTTGCCGTAGAAGCTCGTGTCTGATTCTTCTTTACTCTGCTGTTTCCCCACTGCAGTCCGATCCCGACCTCCCGGCAGATGTGCAGACACCGTCTTCTGCTGAGCTGGGGAGGTATCCAGGCCTGCCCTTCCCGGCCTCCCAGTATGTCCCGCCCCAGCCGTCCATTGAGGAGGCGCGCCAGACCATGCACTCTCTCCTGGATGACGCTTTTGCCCTCGTGGCCCCCAGCAGCCAGCCTGCCAACGCTGTGGCTGCAGGCCCCGGGGTCCCAGCCGGCCTGCCTGTGAACAGCACTCCTTCCCGGGAAGAGAGGCGAGCCACTCAATGGGGATCCTTCTACAGTTCAGCTCAGACAGCCAACAACCCATGCAGCGTAAGTATGAGCCTTCTGGAATTCTCTCATGCAAGATGTTGGAGTTTTGTTGCCCGACTGCTTCGCTTTCAGGATCCCGCAATATTCTGATTGCACTTGGTAAGAATCAAAGCTTGGATGATGGGTCTTGGTTTTTATTATCTTCTCCTAAGTTAATTCTCAATGTTGGAAGCATTGTTCTATGCAACTCTGATATTTTATTGGAAGTATCTTCCTGGGTTCCCTTCAATGTCATGAAGCGGAGGTGGGGTAACTGTCAAAACATATTCTCATTGATATCTCCATAGATGGTACAGTTTAGAATGTACCCAGATCATTAAGCTTCTTCTCATAAGGCCCCCTGGGACTGAGGAGGCCCTCGAGGCTGTGGGAGTGTAGGCAGCTAGTCCACGAGGAGGCAAGGACAACCATTTTCAAATATCAGGTTTCCATCTTGGGAATTGACATTTCACCATTTTGTCTGCTGTTTTGATCCTTTATTTTTTGCATATTCCGTCAGTCCTTTCAAATGTACCTTCTCAAGACATGGAAAAGAGGTAAAACTCAAGGATGTAACATTAAATATTACTTTCTGCTAATTTTAGATTAAATGATTGGACTACATCATTTGACTCTGGCAAGAAGGTAATAGGTCACAATTTAAATTGCTTCAAGAAGTGTTTACACTGGGTTCCTCTGATTTTATTCCTCAGGTTAAGGTGAAATTGGGTGATAATAAACCTATGTGAAAAGAATTTTTATCTCTGAAATTGGTTTGAACTTTCAAAGCATGCCCTTAATAATAGATTGTTTCCTTCAAGGCATGGTAGGCACGTGCCTACGGTAGAGATTACTGCTGCCCTATGGGGAAAAAGACCGTTCAATCTAGTCACTGTTGTTTTTAATATTAAAATATAGCTTATTTCAATAATATTAAACTACTTCATAATAACAACTGGTTTACAGTCTTTAAGGAAATGGATGATAACAGAACAAAACTCAGTGATAAAATGAATGTGGCTACAGCTGCTGGCTGTCCACTTTAAGCTTCTCTCCTTTGTTTATTCATTCGAATATGTTCATGGAGCACTTGCCGTGGTCTGGGTACTCTGTCAGGCATTGGGGATCCAGAGGTGCACGATGCACGGCTCCAGCTCTTGCGTTCCACTGGGGGATACATGGACAGTAGAAGCAGTAATTCCAGTACAGCGTGGTTGGTGCAATGGCAGGAGGAAGGTATGTCGGGGGAGCACCTGGTTGAGACAGGAGGTGCTCGGGAATGATTTTGTGGACAAAGTGGCATCTAAGTGGACGTCTAAAAGATAATTAGTGATTATCACTGAAAGAAGAAGAAGATTTCAGGTAGTGGAGAAGTACAGCAGAGACACAGGAATAAAAGCGTCTGGTGCAAACTTCTTCAAGACAAGATAGAGGAAAAGGTCTGGATTTACCTTCCCTCCAGGACAACTAAAATAACTGGACAAAATATATGGGTTTTCACAACAGTGGACATTAGGGAACAAAAGAGAGGGATTGCTGAGAATTGGGTTGAACCCTGCAGTCGCCCCAGCTTGCTGTCTTAAGAGATTTTCTAGCTGCAGTGCAGGGAGGGAGACCCCAGGCAGAGCTCGTGGTCTCCCTGAGTTGGGAGAATAGAGTTGGGAGTCTGGGAAGGAAAAGGCAGCTAGAATTCATAATAGACAGTGCAGGAAGGCAGAGAGATGCACAAAGAGATAAGTCTGGAGATGTGCAGAAAATCTTCATCAGAGTACTGATCAGTTTAAGTGTGTGAGGAAACTACCCAAAACTGAGGAAAAAAGCACCCCTCAAAAATAGAAGGAACTTAGGGGCCGGCCCGGTGATGCAGTGGTTAAGTTCTCATGTTCAGCTTCTCGGCAGCCCGGGGTTCACCGGTTCGGATCCCGGGTGTGGATATGGCACTGCCTGGCACGCCATGCTGTGGTAGGCATCCCACACATAAAGTAGAGGAAGATGGGCATGGATGTTAGCTCAGGGCCAGTCTTCCTCAGCAAAAAGAGGAGGACTGACAGTAGTTAGCTCAGGGCTAATCTCCTAAAAAAAAAAAAAAAGAAACATCCCCAGAGCTCACACGGTGGTGGGAATAAGTTCCTGCTGTGGACTGAATTGTGTCCCTCCCAAATTCAGAAATTGAAACCAAACCCCCATGTAACTATATTGGAGGTGGGGCCTTTAAGGAGGAGATTAGGTTAAATGAGGTCATGAGGGTGGAGCCCTGATCAGAAAGAACTGGTGCCCTTAGAAGAAGAGAAAGAGACACCAGAGCTCGCTCTCCACCATGTGAGGACACAGCAAGAAGGCTGCTGTGCACAAGGCAGGAAGAGAGGTCTCATCAAAACTGAACCCTGTTGGAAACTTGATGTTGTACTTTCCAGCCTCCAGAACTGTGAGAAAATAAAATTCTGTTGTTTAAGCCACCCAGTCTGTGTGTTTTATTATGGCAGCCTGATCTGACTAACACAGCTCCGTTCCTACCAGTCAGCGTGGAAAACCTCATAATTCATGCAGCCTTGGTTAGAGTACTCAGAAGAGTTTTGCCTTCATGGGGGGAAAGGGGTGGTGGCAGAATTACCCCCAGGTTGCAGCTGCTCTTGTTCTGACTAAAAAAGCATATAAGCAAGACCTGAACCCAAACAAAGCTCAAGAATGTTCATAAAAAACCCAAAAAGATGCAGCATCCAACAAGGGAAAACTAATATTGTCTGACATCCAGTTAAAACTAACCAGACAAGCAAAGAAGCCAGAAAATGGCACAGATGATAGAATTAGTAGACAAAGATATTAAAAGAATTATTGTAATGGAGTTCCATATGTTCAAGAGGCTAGAGGAAAGGTTGGATGTATTAATTAGAGGTATTGAAGATATTAAAGGATGCAAATCAAATTTAGACGTGAAAACTATAATGTCTGAGATGAAACATACTGGATGGGATTAATGGCATGTTAGATATTGCAGAAGAAAAGATTAGTAAGCTTGAATACATGGAAATAAAAACTATCTAACATAAAAAAAGAGAGAGACTGAAAAAATGAATAGAACTTAGGGAGCTGTGGGACAGCTTCAAGTGGACTGATATGCATGTAATTGAGGTTCTCAAAGGAGAGGAGGGAGAGTCAGAAAAAATAATTAAATATTGGCCAAAATTTTTGCAAATTTGATGGATACTGTAAATTTACGGGCTCACAAAGCCTGATGAATCCTATGCATAAGAAACATGAAGAAAACTATACCAAGAAATACCATATCAAATTGCTTAAAGCAAGTGGCAAAGATCTTAAAATTATCTAGAGAAAAAGGGTATGTTACATACAGTGAAACAAAGGTAAAGATGACAGCAGAATTTTCATTGTCCGGAAGACCATGGAACAAAGTTTTGAAGAAACAGAAAATTGTCAACCTAGCATTCTATATCCAGCAAAAATATTTTTCAAAAACTAAGGTGAAATGAAAACTTTTTCAGACATACAGGAACTGAAAGAATGCGTCACCAGCTAACCTGTATTGTAAGGAATGTTAGGGAAAGTTTTTTTTTTTAGCAGGAGTAGAGTGATACCAGATACAGATATGGAGCTGCATACATGAATGAAAAGCACTAGAAATGTAAATATGTGGGTAATTATAGCTTTTTTCTTCATTATTTAAATATTTTATAAAGATAATTGACTATTTAAAAGAAAAGTAATAATACTGTATTGTGGGGTTTATAACGTATATAGAAGTAAAATGTGTGAAAACAATAACACAAAGGCCAAGAAGGGAAAAATACAAGTGCACCATTTTAAGGTTCTTCCACCAGGTGGAATAATAGCCCTGGGAGGTGGTAGACTGTTATTCATGAAAAATGTATAATATAAACCCTAAAGCAACACTAAAAAATGTAGTTATAGCTAGTAAGCCAACAAAGGAGTCAAAATGAAATAATAATAGTCCAAAAGAAGGCAGAAAAAGAGGAAGAAGGAAAAGATGGGAAAGAACAGATGGGACAAATAGAAAATAGATACCAAGATGATGTCTATCAATGATCACATTTAATGTGCATGGTCTATACATCCCTATTAAAGGGCAGAGATTGTCAGGTTGGAGAAAAAGCAAGATCCAACTATTTGCTGCCTATGGGACTCCCACATTAAGTATAAAGGCACAAATAGATTAAAAGTATGGAGAAAGAGAGACCATGCTTACACTAATCCCTGAAGCTGGAGTGGCTTCATCAGTATGAGCCAAAATAGATCTCACAGTAAAAAAAAATTGTGAAGGACGAAGAAGATCATTTTATAATAAAGTGGTCACTTCATCAAGAAGACGTAAAATCCTGAATGTTTATGTGCCTAGTAATAGAGCTGAACATACATAAAGCAAAAACTGATAGCACTACCTGTAGAAATAAACAAATCCACGATCATAGTCAATGATTTCAACGCTCCTCTTTCAATAATTGATAGAACTAGTATACAGAAAGATAGAGAAGACTCGAAGAAGTCTTAACTAACGCTATCAGCTTGAACTAGCTGACATCTATAGAGCACTCCACTCAACAAGAACAGAAAGAATATACATTCTTTCAAGAGAACATGGAACGTTTACTAAGATAGACCATATTCTAAGCCATAAAGCTAATCTCAATAAATATAAAAAGATACATATTATATAAACAGCCCAATAAAAAATGGGAAAGGATTTGAACACAAATGTCACCAAAGAAGATATACAGATAATAAGCAGATGAATATAAACAATCATCAGATAAAGATGATCAACTAAGATACTTAGTCATTAGCAAAATGCAATAAATCATAATGAGTTATCACTACACGCCTATTAGAATGTTTAATATTCAAAACACTGACCACACCGAATATTTGTGAGGATGTGAACAGCTAGAATTCTCATAAATTCTTGGTGGGTATGTAAAATAGCTCAGCCAATTTGGAAAACAGTCTAGCAGTCTCTTAAAAAAATTAAACGTTCACCTACCGTATCA